TCTCCGGGGTGCGTCTCACTCGTTGGAGTTCTCGAACTGCGCGCGGACCGCCATGATTCCTTCTGTCGGAGTCGGACTACCGGAGGTGAGAATAGTGAAGATAGGAAAATTCTATATCTTCGCTTGGAGAGAGCGAGGAAGTTGGTCGAGTGCCCGTGAGAGGGAGAGAAGAGATCGCTGAGGGGAGAGAGATTCGAGGAAGTGGTGAAGGCGGGGTGAGGGCAAGGCAGAACCTGTCGGGAAGAGGCTCGTGGCGGGGAAAACGGCGAGAGAAGGACACAAAGTGCTAGAACAGGACTTTGCGATTCGCAATTGACAGAGAGACGGGGCTCGATCAGCCAAAAGATGCAGGCAATTTAGAAAGCACAGCAGGGTCGTGAACCGCAGTGATGGAGGAAAAGCCCGAGGAAATAAAAAGCTTCGAGCGATAGCCCCGCCCATGGCACTAGGCCCAATCGGGGTGGAAGGCGGCGACGGGGCAGAACCAGTCATGAGTCAGCAATCAGCATCAGTCATCATTTTCCCCCGTCGACTCATCGCCATCGAGACATGAGCCATTATGATTCATCCCCCGGTGGGTCTAGATTCCCCAGTAGTTACTAGACCCAGCCCCCTTTACATAGTTGCACCGCCGCCTAGTACAATTCCCCACTCATATGCGAAAGTGAGATCAAGAAGAAGGCGGACTCAGTAAAAGAATTAGAAATCACGTTTATGTAGAGAAGAACCTAACCACTCAACGCCTAAGGGGAATCCTCCATAGCTAAATACATGACCAGTCGCTCGGTAATCGAAAAGAAAAAAGGCCCTTAAATATCCCAACGAAAAAAAAGGTCTACATCAAAACTCCGGGTGAGAATCTTCACCACGAAAAGAAAAGACAAAATTAACCCGCACGCACTTCAATCCCTTCCCGCTAGAAGGGGGGTCGGGGCCCTGGCGGAGGTGGTGGAGGCGGCGGCGGATAATAAAGACTTGGGGGGTGATGTCCCGTCATAAAGCCGGGCAGAGGAGGTCGATGAAAGTTGGATCCCGGCGGAGGAGGAAGGTGAGGAGGCCCTCCCATGGAGGCAAAAGGATCAGGCAGGCCGAGCTGCTCATTAATCGGGGGAATCTGTTGCCCCGCTGGAAGAAGACGACGGGGCTGTTGTCTCTGAGGGGTTGGAGGAGGCAGCACAAATGGTCGAGTTTCGGTAGGGCCGTGGGCCAATGGCGGCTGTGCAGGCTGGGGCAGGAGGGCTCGATGAGTCGAGAGCCGTGGAGCAGCTTGTGACAGGGGAGGGCGCGGAGGCTCCGCCGCTGCAATATCTGCCAAGGCTGACAATGCTCGGGGGCGCAAGTCAGGCAGCACCACCGGAGGACTGATCTCTGCGGGCATTGTGTTCCGAGGAACTTCCACAACCCCGGTCGCTTTCACCAACATATCGAGAATCTGCTCAGCGGTCATGCCCGCAAAGGGACCTGCGTCTCGGATCTCCTTCATCTGCGGATCGATGTCGTCGCCCACCTTGGCCCGTTGAACGAAGTCGTCCCAGCCGAAGTAAGCACGGTCGTAGAGCGCTGCCCCAGAAGGGTTTCGAACATAGTTGGAGTTGAAGCCTCTGAACACTTCCCTGGCGGGGGGTACCACTCGTCCGCGCTCCGGCTCGGTTTCGGAGTCATCAGTCTGCAGTGTAACATTAGTACCCCTTCCCGGCCCCAAGCATTGGGAAGTATACATACCTCAGTATGCTCATCATCTTCCGCGGCACGGCGACCTTCGACAAACGTCATATACGCCCCCTGACTAGCCAGTAAGTGCTCTTCTCGGATATTGCGGGCTTGAGCCTGTTGTTCGTTATCCGTTAGTGGGCTCTTCCAAGAAAGAGGATACATGCCTTTAAACTTACCCGGTACCGTTCCTCAATGACTTGCTTGTTGGCCTCGAATAGTCGGTGCTCCTGCGCCACCTTGAGTTCATATTCCCGGCGTAGAACCTCCTTCCGTCCATTGAGTCTCTCCTTCAACTGCAAGTTAACTTCTTCAAACTCTGGCACATTCTTGTGCGCGTTCTTATCGCGGGCTAGTCGCTTCTCAGACTGTGTGGCCAGCACTGCCAGCGCCAGCCGCTGAGCAGCAGCCACTTTCTTGAAGGCCTTGTCCAACTCTCGCTGCCTGTCCCGCAGCTTCTGGGTAGCTGCACTTGGTGAAGGGGAGCGGTCAGGCTCCACATCGCTTGAGCGATCCAGCTGTCGACCGGTGCGACCACCACGACCACTGCGTGCGGCGCCCCGTCCTCGTTTGTTCACTGCGAACCGCGCTGAGCCGCGGCTGCGTCCACCACGGCCGCGGCCTCGTGTCCGACCACGGGTTGCTTTACCAGCTGTGGACTCCGTGGCTACCTCCGGCGTTGATCCTTCAATCTCTTCAGTCACCTGGCGAGATTCTTCATCGACTCTGGATTCGGCCATAGCCTCAGCGGGGGACCGTGATTCCGGGTTACCACCGGTGCCATTTTGCAGTTGTTGATGTAAGGCGTGGTCCAACTCGCCCTCTTCCACTTTAGGTTTCTTACTAGGAGATTCAGAGACGCTCTCGTTCTCAGCCGCACCAGGATCTTCTGGTTGAGACGACGACTTTGGCTTTTCAGATGCATCTGGACTTGGGGTAGGCGTTGAATTCTGAGGACCAGCAATCTCATGGGCTGCCGTTTCAGCGACACCATTCTTGTCTTCGTCAACAACGGTGCCCTTTGGTGACTCTTCCTTCGTGGGAGGATGGAAGTCCGGTTCAATGCTCTGAGGCTCATCTTGCAGTGGCTTGGGTTGCTCAGCCGGGACAGGTGTGGCCCTGTCCGGGGAAGGAGATTTGACAACAGCAGCAACAGGAGTAGCATTGTGCGTAGTGTCAATGATATTATCAGCGAATTGCCGACTCCTATTTCTCGTTCTGCTACTCGGGGCAGCATTCGTAGAAGGACTCGGCTCTGGAAATTTCGGGACGATACCCTGATCGTTGGAACCGTCTTCGGTCGATGTGGGATGCACATGCGCCCTGAGTCTCGCCGACTGCCTCGTAGTCCGAGGAGTCTCTTCAACCGTCGGGCCTCGCTTGACGCGCTTGTGCCGAGGAGTTTCTGGAACGGCCATTACTGGCGTTTCAGGCTGGGCAGTGGCCAACTGGGCGCTTGCACGAGTCCGAGTATTACGGGTCTCGCGAGCGGTGTTTTCACGCGCTAGATTTTCACGCGCTGCAGTCTCACGGAGCGCAGCTTCGCGAGCTGCATTCTCCGCAGCCGTGTTAGCTCGAGCAGCACGAGTGCTGAGCGTGATAATACGCGATGGGCGATTGGTGTTGTTTTTTAAATGATTGGTGTGGTTCCCAGCCGTAGCAGCAGTGTTGCTGGGGGCTCTAACATCATGTTGAGAGGCACGCGCATCTCGACTCGAACGTAAACTCCGAGTCACACGAACAGATGAAAGATCATCATGCGTGGAGTCTAGGGAGCCATAAGAATTTGCTGCGGTAGCTGGAAGGGGGTAGAAACTTACTAGTAGTGCTCTGGGAAGTCCCTGCGCCAGCATGACCACCGCCAGAGGATGCCGTTGAAGCTTGGGTAGCTTCAATTTTACGCTTGACCCCCGCCATTGCTGTCCACTATCTAGGTGAGAATTCAGTTAGAGTTGAAAATCCGTTGAACGAGTCGAGGACAAAGACTGGTGGGAGCAATGGGAAGAAGCAAGACGAGTAACACGGTAAGATAAGAGGATTCACTTCTGGGGGTTCAACGTTGTCTCGGAAGGCAGGGGAAGGCAGTAAGATTGTGTTGAGGTTCAGTCCTTAATGGAAAACACAATGATAAGATGAGGCGAAAAGAGAAGATCTTCAGGCAAGCAACACCAAAAGGGCTAGCAGTGGGTCACGAAAAGTAGATGAGAAAGCAGGAGAGAAGAAAAGAAAAAAAACAAAAGGAAAAGACGTATGTCAAGCAGGCCCCATCAAGATCAAGTAGAAATGCCAAAGGATCAGAGAGGGGATGCATGCATTAACGATCTTTACCGGTGAAGAGATGCCATACTAAGCGACATGGGTATGTGTGGTTGAGGAAGGGAATGAAAAGGTGAAAAGAACACAAGGCACATGGTACATTGGTTCAGATAAAGTTTAAGGATGGGGATATGCTGGGGGGTGGAGAGGACGCATCAGGAAGTACAGGGAAGAGAAGGGCGGAAGATGGTAGTCAGGCAAAAGGCCGAGATGAGACGAGGTATGTGACGATAGAAACGTGCCGGGAGGATCGCTTCCCAAGGGAAAAGCTGGGGGTCGCGTGGTTGCGGGAAGGAGAGCAGAAAAGTAAAACGGGGACAATCGGGGAAGAAATGGGGGCAAGGGAAGGGGAAGGATGAGAACATACCTGGGGGGGAAATAAGGGAAAATTCCTCCTCGGAGCGTGGATCAGCAACGTGAAGGTAGAAAGTAGTAGATCGATTGAATCCCCAGGCGGGAACGCGAGGGTAGTAGAGATAGTAGAATGGAGATTGGAGAGGGAATGAAGTAAAAAGAGGTTCGGCCAAGTGGATCAAGTGAGCGAAGCAAGAAAAGCTACCCGCCGTTTGGTTGGTTGGTTGGCGGGCCTGGCAGAGAGACTCAAGAGGGAGTGAGAGGAAGAAACTCGGAGTGAGAGAGGAAGAGAGAAGAGAGGAGAAGCCAATACGAGGACAACTTCGCCGGATGTAGAAGTAGTAAAAGTAGAAAGTAGTAGTAGTAAAGGTTGGTTAGTGAGGTAGCAGCAGCAACAGCAGCAGCAGTAGCAGCTCCAGCTTGTCGACGTTGTCGTAGTAGTAGCAGCAGCAGCAGCAGCAGCAGCAGCAGCAGTAACTACGGTCTACCAAACGATCCCCCAGCAATTGATGGAGCTCTCGGGTGGTTGATCCCAAAAGTTGATCTTCATGCGCGGACAGAGAAAGTCCGGTGCTGTCTTGTAGAGCAGCAAAAGGGAAAAGAAGAAGAAAAAAAAAACCCCAGGGAACGAAAGGGGAGAGGGAAAGACAATAGAAGAGAGAAGAGGGAGAAAAAAAACACCACCCAAATGACACGCAAAAGGGAGTGCTTTGCTTTAACTATTGCCGTACCTTGGATGGGCGAGCAGTTCGTGGGAAGGAAGGGGAATAGCCAAAGGAAAAATGAGGAAAAGGAAAAGGAAAAGCAACGGTCACCACCACCACAACAAGACCAGATTATGGAGAATCTTGAAGCTGATGGGCGATGAATTCGGCTGGGAAGATCAGTCAAGCCAGTATTAGTGTTAGTTGGAACTAAAAAGACCGACGGCGAGGAATTTGACTGGGCCGTTTGGCTGTCCCGGCCGCTTGGAGTGGCGCAAAAGCAGGAGCCAGGGACCGACCACGCCGGCCCACGTTCCCAATATCCGAGTAGAAATCAAAAAGATACTGAGGAGAGAATGGACAGGGGAACACGAAAATAGAGGGAGAGATACTTTATATCACCAGATAGTAAGTCAGATGGAACTATCCAGCACGGCAAAATAAAAAGCAGAAGTTTAAAAGAAATAAAAAGGAGATGAGCGTGGAGAAGCCGGGCGACTGTCAAAAGCTGGATGGAATGGGTCGGAAATACGTCGTCAAGTCGAGCAAGGCGTGGCCGTAGAAATTCCATCCCAGTCAAATCTGACCACTAAACTGAGTAGCTCCAGGCACTAAAATCACCGCTAAGGGATATTTCGTCTTCGGACTCCGGACTACTCCTCCTTCTCGACAACGCGCTGAAACCGTGCAACGATTGATGAGACTGTTAACGATCCCTGAGTGACAATGCTCTCTCTCTGTCTCTCTCGGCTCCAAAAGGGCTGACAGCCAAGAAAGGGAAAAATAATCTTCATCATGATACACACGTGTTATCCTTACGTATAATTCTAGTTCATAGTGCCTCATATACCACTTACTGTCCACGTAGTCTCCTAATATCTATCTATCTAGTAGATGGTGGATGGGTTTTCCGAAAGTGGGTACCTTCTGCTTCTTCGTACTTATAACTCTCCATTCATTTTCCGATTACGGAGTACTTCAACTAGACCTCGAAAGTCTCTTTCTCTTCATGAGGCAAGACAGTAGTACGATTGATTCAACTCCTCTCCAAGAGTCACTCCCTGTCAATACCACATCCCCTTTCCATATATTGTCAAGAATAGACATAGATCAATTACCATCCAGCTCTTCCTCTCCTTTGCCTTCCTGACTCCTCCATCAATCCAACCCTCAAATCTAATATTACCCAATTACTCACCTCTGCCCCAATTGACACCCATCGAGACAACATTAAGATGGCGTTAAAATATTTCAATATCCGCTTACGCCTTCAGTAAAAGTTCTTTCACGGGGCAACGAAAAATGAAAGTGTCAGGCTGTTACCTATCTTCCTAGGTTACTCCGTAACACAAAACAGACTTTGGGGGAAAAGGTAAAACATCACAAACCAGATATCCGCCATTTCATGACAATGTGCGCCTCGTAAGAGTCTGGCCATGACAGGTGTACATCTGCATGGATATGCACGAAATGACGAACCGCATTGTTCAAAGTTCACCATATGATGGATCAGGTTTGAGAGAGTATCGGACTCCGTAGGAAACACACACAGGCCTTGATGAAACTTCTTTGGCGCTTCTTGTGGACATTTTGATACACTACTTATATCTATTTTTGTCAATTCTTATGCTGTGATTGGATGTTGTGTTTGAACTATATAGACATGCATGTACCTTGGTCTTCAAAGGTCCAAGATAGTGACTTTTAGTTAAGGTCAATGTGCATGAGGTATTTCTGTACCTTTAAGCTTCCAATTTTCCCCCGCCAGAAAAGTCGCACTAACAAGCCACATGTAGCATTGTCTTATATCTACTTATAATTTACCCCATTCAGTAGAGAGCCATGATGCATTATATGATCTATACTTATCTATGAAAGTACTTGCTAACTACATCAAACGCTATGTCCAGGATATCTATCAACATAGGAAAACACAAACAAAGGAAAGACATGTAAGCTCAAACCTGCAATGCGATCGCAACCCTCTTCCGGCCCAGCTAGCTCTCATCCGGTGATTCGTTCAGATCATATTTCTTTTCATACCGTGATATACTGCTCCGCACATCTGCCGCCATGATGAAGCTGGGCATCGGAGACCCTCGACCGCTGGGTTCCGGGGACTCGGTGTTCCGTTCCATCCCGTTGAGGGGTTGATCGAACAGCGGCGATCTGCTGCGTGGTGCTTGGGATCGGAGCGAACGAGTAGATCTGACCCGGTTCAAGGCCTGTACGGAAATGGTCTGGCCGGCTGCTGGAGAGGCAATCACCGTGGTACCTGGCATTGGGGTTGGGGGTGGCGATGAGCTGTCGGAGCGGAATAACGGGTGAATGAAGCTTTCATCGGGGAGCTTCAGCTTGGGAGGGGCAGGTCTGGCAGGAGTCACCAGCTGTGTTGATGAAGTCGCGGGCGATGACCGTGCTGACGAGGGTTGGCGAACCAAGCCATCCAAGGACCGCTTTGTATCGGAGTAGCTTCGTCGAATCTTGGGGGGTTCGGGGCGAAGCTTGGCCCCGACTGCAGCGCTGCCGGTTTGGTCACCGGGATGCTCCTCTACTGTGGCTGGTGTGACTGTGGTATCTCCAGGAGGTACGTATGATCGCTGCAGGTCAAAGGAGCTTTGCTTGGAGTCATGCTGGAATAGTGTACGTCCAGAATAGCGGTTTGAGGCCTGGGATTCTGTATTTGAGACAGACGGTTGGATCGGAGGTACTGTATCAGGACTCGTCTTCAAATCAGCGGATGGTCGCTGGGACTCGCTGGCCAGAGAGGATGACTGCACGGTGCTTGCGTCTTTTACGCTTGCTTTATCAGAAAGCACCTCAAGCTCTTGGGATACGGATGGTGGCGACCAGTTGCTTGTGGACTCCCGTCTCGTCAAGGTTGTCAGGAGGTATCCTCCTAGTATGCCTTGGCTGAGAACTGATATGGCCCATATGGTGCAGCGAGCCACTAGCAAAGACTGATGTCTTGTGACCGTCGACTTCTTAGCTGACACGGATTGAGCAGCACTCCATGCTATCCCCCCTGCTGTCACGCCAGTGGCCACTGATGAATATGCAGCGATAAGCCCATATGTGATGGCTCGGTGGTTTCTGCTCTGCTCTGTGGGCTCACTTTTGATATCTTTCATCCAGAGGAGCATCAACGATACAAGCGCAACACAGCTGACTGCACTTAGGCTGACAATGGCGGATTCAACAGAAGACACACGAGATGAGAGGGATCTGGAGAAGGTGAAGCACATGCCATCGAGGATAGTAGTAATGAACGTCGATAATAAAGTAGTACCACCCAGGATCCGGGCCGGGGAGGCCCTGGGCATGCTAAGAGACATGAAATAGGGGAGTCAGGACTATACGGAATATGGATGCAGCGGGCTCTGTGGAAAGGACAGTGTTCAACGATCGCCCTGAAGGGACAGGTGCAGATGTCAAAATATCTGCAAAGGCCTTCTCAGATATTTTAATAAAGGGGCTCCAAAGATGTCGAGTCTGGCAGCACAGCTCAGCTGAAGCGATTGAGGCTATCGGTACCAAGCCAAGCCGGCCGTCGTGATGTGAGCTGATAGTGACGTCGAAAGCTTTCTGGACTTAAGGTGAAGCCTGGAGAGCGCAGAGACAAAGTACTAGCATGGAAGGGACAGTGATGATGTCTCGATGAAAAAAGATCGGGCGGACAAAATCGTGGGCGTGACGAGTTAGCAACGATTAAACGAGGGACAATAGTGGACGAGGGTCGAGCCGGAGTAAATACCCAACAACCCGGAAAGAACGAGAGTCAATCAATTAAGCTAAAGAGGGAAAGACGGGGGGAATGGGTTCCCCGAGGATGATTGAATAAGGACGCATGGATTGTTCGAAGAAAAAGCGCGTATGCATTTACCAGGATTATCATGACAGGGGGGGCGTTGACTACTTCGAGCAGCGGTCGAATGGCAATGGCGAATGGACCTGGAGCCGAGCAATCTACGCCTCCAGGGTCTCGATCTCACTAGACTAGCAGGGGCTGCCAGAGGAGCAGATGAGAATCATACCAATCCTAGTGCGGATCGGTAGGCTCGGTGATCGAGATGCCTTTCTCGACCATTCCCTCGATACCCTAGTCTTGCCAGCTATTGGGGGAACTAGGCCCCTCTCGATTGCCACGAAAGGGAAGGGGGTGGTTGTGTCAGTAAGTAGGGGTACCAGGGAGAAAAGAAAAAGAAAAGAAACGTATTAACAAAGGGTTTCGTGATCACTGTCAAGCTGACTCGTACTTTAAAAACGTCAAAGGGGAGCTCATGGTTTGACGATGACTTTCAACGGCCAGGGATGGCATGCCTTGACATTAAAAACTGTCACCCACGCAGCCCTTCAACCTACATGCTTAATCTTTGTCTGATTATTCTCCAGTACGATGCGAAGACAAAGAAACTTTGATCCTGAACCTCCAGTTCACTACCAAAGGGAAGTGAAGAAAGTATCGCCAACCGCTGCACGGCATACCTCAGAGGTATCCTCGTCATATGGAACAGGTCTAGAAGAGAATTTGTCAGATCAGGCTGGCTTGCTGTACGAAGCGGCCGGGGGGATCTCCAGAGTTCCGGGAAAGCCTTAATTGGGAGATCGTCTGTTTTGATTCCTGAATGGGGACTTTAGGAGCGCGCAAGTCCTGCAAAGCAGAGCTGTGATCTATCACTCCGTTCCCGGGAGGAGCCGCTATACTTGTGCTGAAGGATAAGCGGGGAGAGAGCGCCGACGGACTGGGGGCACTGCTGCTCCTGCTCCTAACAATGGGTTAGGGAGAGATACAGAAGCAGTAGAATTATCAGTCAAAGATCCTGGCTGAAAGGGTAAACAAAAGGTACAGTAGAGATGGAATTTCATGGAGTCTTCTTGATCTCTGCAGTTCATGGGTGAGAATTACCGACCAAGGCGGCAGCTAATGGTGGAATCCTGATTGATGGCTTCGTGTTGTAGTTCTCTCCACCGCATCAACCAATCCATGTGATACATCTATATGACAGGTCTATAGGACCATATACCCCTTGCCACGGGTGGCACGGCATCCAAAGTACCAAACCCTGCAACTCCGTATAGGTTACAAAATTATTGTATATGGTTTCATCAGATCAGGGAAAAACAAAAAGAAAGCGGCGCAGAACGAGAAGAGTCAACTGGGCGCGTCGCTAGTAAGGAAAGCAGGACTAGTACTGTTACCTAGTAGAGTTGAATGTTACTTTTCCGGATTTATTGCAGAGTAGTAGTAATTCCTGTTGAGTATTTAGTAGTATTATTGTTTTGGCCAATTTCTTATTTAGGACTGGTGGTCAGTGAACGAAGATATATTTCCATCGGTAACTTTCCCCGGATGTCAATAGTAACGGCAATTGCCTGATTGAAAGGTACAAAACTACTAGTACGTTACTTTCAATACACCCTATTCCATGGACTGGCTGCCTACAATTCCTGGGGAGCATTTCAAGCGATGATATTTTTTGGAGGATTAAGTTAGCTACATTGAAAGTTAAGTAGCTGAAGAGAAAAGAAAAAGCATTTCGAAGTATATATACTCTCCACTTACGTGCAAGAGTGGCTGAGTACCTTCAAAACAAAACAAAACTAGCGAGGGGTTTGTGGCTGAGTGGCTGGAGACAGTGAGTGACCGCCTCCCGCCAGCTCCTTCTCTCCCTCCTCCGGCGTCATGATTGCCATCATCATCGCTTGCTGCTCTTCCGGTTTGTTCCCAGACCGTTGATTGTTTCTTCCCTCTCTCCTTCCCCCTTATCAAAGTACATCAAGAGGTGCTTCTAGCTCCCCCGTGTATCCTTTTATCTACATCGCCGTGCTCCCCTCCAGACCACCCCACCGAGCCATCTCTCATCCATCCGGTGGCGCAAGATGAAGCTCACGTTTAAGGTACGCGTGATTCCTACCCCACCCCCTCTACTTATCCTCGAGTCTGACATGTTCGTTCTCTCCCTCTAGGACCTGAAACAACAAAAGTTTGTAATCGATGCAGAGCCCTCAGAGACGGTAGGCGGTTCCTTTCTCTCAGCGTCGTGACTTTGCCGGCGTCAGTGCGGGGCTAAATGAATTATCCGACAGGTCGGGCAAGTGAAGGAAAAGATCTCCAAGGAGAAGGGATGGGAGGTTCCCCAGCTTAAGCTCATCTACTCTGGTAAGTAAAGCAACTTTGGCGTCCTACACTTGCTGCTCTATTTCCGATAGCCTCTGCCACTATGTTTGGCCGGTATTTTCAGCGCTGACCGTTCTTCCCCCCCAACAGGAAAGATCCTTCAGGATGACAAGACGATCGAGTCATACAACATCGAGGAGAAGGGGTTCATAGTGTGCATGGTCTCTAAGGTACGTACACCCTAGGCCAAGGATATATTTCGTATGAATGAAGGACTAAATTCTCGTGGTGTAGCCCAAGGCTACTTCCTCCGGCACCTCGTCACAAGCGCCCTCCACCCCATCCAGAGCCGTCACCTCTACCCCTGCTGCGCCTCCCGCCCCAGCCCCTTCTGCGGCTTCCACTACACCGGCTGTTCCTTCGACTCCCTCCCCGGCCGCCGCGGGGACCTCCCAGGCACAGGGCTCCGCATTCAATGACCCCTCCGCATTGCTGAGTGGCACTCAGAGCGAGGCTGTCGTGGCTCAGATGGAGGCAATGGGTTTCGCCCGGAGTGATGTAAACCGTGCAATGAGGGCTGCTTTCTTTAACCCCGATCGTGCCATCGAATACCTTTTGAATGTGAGTTCATGGCGCTGGTAGCCGGCTATTGGGTTACCCGATCTTGCGCTGACTTTAAGCAGGGTATTCCGGAAAACATCCAACAGGAACAGCAGCAGCAAGCCGCCGCCGCTAGCGCACCCCAGTCTGCTGCTCCCGAAAGCGCCCCGTCCGCTGGTGACGACGAACCGGTCAACCTGTTCGAGGCTGCTGCTCAGGCTGGTGGCCAGGAGGGAGGAGGCCGAGGAGCTCGTGCTGCCGGTGGTGCTGAACTCCCGAGCCTCGAATTTCTGCGGAATAACCCCCACTTCCAGCAGCTTCGTCAGTTGGTCCAACAACAACCACAAATGCTCGAACCCATCCTCCAACAAGTCGCCGCTGGAAACCCCCAAATTGCGCAGCTCATTGGCCAAAATGAGGAACAGTTCCTGCAGCTCCTGAGTGAGGAGCCTGATGATGATGAGGCGCTCCCCCCTGGTACGACTCAAATTCATGTTACGGAAGAAGAGAGAGATGCCATTGAACGTGTGCGTATAATATACTCTGGTAATTCCTTGTGGAAATGTAGCTGACATGTTTCTGCTAGCTCTGCCGGCTTGGATTCTCTCGGGACTTGGTCATTCAAGCTTATTTCGCTTGCGATAAGAATGAAGAGCTCGCAGCTAACTATCTGTTTGAGAACCCCGACGATCCCGAAGATATGTGATTCAAGCGCGGCCTCGTGTATTCCCATGTGTTTGAGATGCTGCTCACTGCTTTGAATCATGTTCTCCTTTCCTAATTAACGTCGCTATGTACCCACTTTTCTCCTCTTCTCCTTCGCCTCAAGATCTTATGAGAATCGACGATTACGTAGATCAGAAAATGGCTTCAACCCATGCCTCTGGCTTTCGAACCCCAAGCCAGGCTGGAGCGTGTCCTTCTATTTTTGTCGGGTTCCGCCCCTCCGATAGTACTTATCTTTCACACGCTCGCCTTACCACTGGACGACATATTAGTAAGCTAGTGTCACGGACGGACGATGCTTCCATTTTCGCGATATTCTCATGTTTCTATTCTTCTATTATTTCCCTTCTATTCTATTTCCTTTTCCGACTCTCCTCAATATGACGTTCCAGTCATGTATCTAGTTAATGGAAACGAAAACAAGGCGTTGCGCTCCCCCTTGCCTCAGTCATTCTACCCACCATCTATCGATATCAAGGAAATATCTATTTGACCCGGAGTTCCAAAAGTCAAGACTCCTGATTTATTCTTCTATTGCAGGACATACTTATATGTTCCACTCCGTAGAGGGCTAGACGAGGGAAGAAAAGAAGCAAGGGGAGCCGAGGATCCCGAACTCATGACCAAATTGACTGACTGACTAACTGACTAGTAATTCAATTGTCCTGATCTGCGCTTGATCTGATGACATTGGTACATAAGTTAGCACGGGATGACTGGGTGCATGCGTAACTACTTAGTAATCTGGAATGTTGTTATATTTTGTACTAGATATACTATGTGTTGGTTATCGGGGGTAGTAGTAGATTAATAGTAATTCTAGACTACTACTAGTACTTCAGATTAGTACTATATATAGTGTTAATATAGTACACTATTAAGACCAAATTTTTGGGAGTTGTATGTAATTCACGAATTACTAGGACAAGTCTTCAGGCATAAATTAATGAATTGTTAATTAGTGGGGGTATATTCTATTGTCGTGATGATGTGAGTTATGTGATAAAATATGTGAGTAGGTAGGATGGGTGGAATGGTGGGTACATGCACGCAGTAATCGGGTACTGCTAAGCGTGTAGGATGTCTACCCGATTGACTAAGTAGATAGTGATTTTCGCTAGGGGATCAACATGAAGGTGATTCAAATGGTGTGGTGGGGTATATGATCAGATATAGTAGCACGGGTATGTAGTATAGATTGTTGGTGACAGGTGGGTAGGTAGGTAGGTAGGTAGGGCGGTGATATGGAAGAGGCTAATCAAGAACGGGAATGTAAATGCCAAGAAGAAGAAGGGAAAAGAACCAATAACCAAGATAAGAAGAAGAATGAAGAAAAGGAGATGTGAAGGTTGTCTCCGTCGAAAACGGGATCTAAGTTGTTTCCCGCTGCCAGCTGACCGAGTGAGCTTCAACGTCATCTGATGTTTCAAAGCGTAATTTGTCAAACACAACCACTTCTTCGTGCGGCCCAGACGGACAGTCCGCGTCTGCCGATCACTCTCTTTAAGGTAGGAAAAATGCCATCTGTGCCAAAGTCCAGGTCATCCAAGTTGAGGTGCTTGCGCCAAGTCCATAGCTCGTGCAATGTGAGACCTGAATCGTCGGGTGAGGGATTCGTATACCGGTCGAGGAAAGTAGCGGATTTAGGAGCGACCACAAAGATCGAGCGCTCGGAATTTTCCATGCTGTTGCTGTCATCGTTGTTTGGACATTGTGGCACTAATTTCTCAAGCTCACTCGCCATTTCTGGCCCGGAGATACCCATCAAGTCCCGCGTTTCGATGTTCAGCTGAGTGGTGGTGTTATCTCCCAACAGCCACAATGGAGGGGAATATGTCTTCCACCAGAGTATTGTAGCAGATTTCTGGGCATTGTCGTTGGCAGACATGGCGCCTGCCTCGAAGATACTCTCGGAGACGATTGAGGGGATCGCAATCTGAGTAGGGACTACACCACCCTGATGGTACACTCCCATGAGGAATCCTAGGGCGGCGTTGAAAACCACCCAGGCCGCCAGAAAAAGACGCGACTTGCGCACTCGAAGACAACTGAGGAGGAGCGGGACGCATGGAAGTAGGAACCGGGGTTCTTGGTGTGGGAAGATGGAAAGCATAGCGGTTGCTGATATGGCGGAGACGGCGCGTATATTCTTTAGCCAAGACTGAATTGCTGTCGATTTGCTCATAGAGAGTATAATCGCCACATATGCTGGCCCCAGGAGTTGCGGCAGATTGACTAGAAAGTGATGATACCGAGGGTGGAGGCCATGGAGAGCTAGGTTCGACTGGTCGCTATTGTAGAGCAGATTATTGAGGGGCGTGATTATAGGTGCGTGAACGGCGTCCCAAAGCGAGGCAGAAGGATTGTAGAACGTTGTATCGACAAGGACAGCGATGCAGAAGAAGAATAGACCGAACCCAGCAAATGAGAGCAAGGAGAATGGCCTAGAAATGTTAGGTTTGGTTGGACGACGGGGGACCAGAAGGCTGCGCAATACGTACTTGCGCCAAAAATGAGGCAGTAACCGCAGTCCTGGGATGAGGAGGAAGGCTGGAAAAGTGATGCGGTTGAAAACACCCACGACGGCGATGAGAGATAGCACGGCGCATGCGAAGATGGACGAGCGTCGCTATAAGCAGTGATTAGCCGAGAGCTATCATTCTCTGGATTCCACACTAGTAAGCCTACCTTGTTATCAACAATGCGCTGGATCAAGACTAAGCCCCAGGCGACCAACAGGGTCTCGATGGAGTTGGAGAAGGTGTGCGTCTGATATGTCCAGGTGACATAGGAGGATGCGACTAGGACCACCGTCGCGCGGCGATGGCGCGGTAGGGGAACCAGCTCATAGACAGCCCAATCTTCGAGCACAAAACTCAGGAGAAACATGACCCCTCGCAGCACATAGTAAACCAGCTCTGGCGGAGGATTTAGCGTCCCGCTTTCTGTATAGAATCCCTTCAGCAGGTTCATCGGTACGTCGTAGGTCGGCCATAGTGGGAAGACGCTGCGAATCGGCTTATCGGAGGTGAATTCCCAGGGTAAGCGGGACGGATAGGAGAAAATGCGACCTAGGGAGTCACTTGTGAGCAATGCGCATTCTTTTCTGACGTAAAATTGGGGTTTTGCGGCGGAGAGGACAAGGCTGCTTCGATGCGCGGGAAGCGTCGGAAGCGCGCCATCTTGCAACCACAAGCGGTCGCACCGTCCGGGAAAATAGATCAAATCGCAAGGGTAATAGAAAATAGATTGTGCGACGCAGTGAAATTGACTCACCTGCAAAAACCTCAGGGCCTTGGAAATTTTCATCCGGGTGTAGATAACTTGGAGACAGTGCGAAGTACACACGGATCACCAGCAGCAGCAGGTACGTTCGTCTCCACATGGCTTGGGATGGGGGTTGATTGAAGCACGGAGAAGCTCAAGGCAACAAGGGACCAGTCTGATTTTGGGGGATACTGTACATGCCGGTTGCCTAGTAGTAGCCGTCCTGCATCCGAGGATATATATGTAGATAACGCGGAAAGGGAAATCAAGGAATGACTTGTTGGGACATGAAGGGCGGGTTATCCAGAGGCAGAGGAAAGGGAAAAAAAGAAAACAACAGAAGCAAAAGCAACTAGAGAGCGTTAAAGGGAGAGGGAGAGGGAGAGGGCGAGAGAGAAAGAGAAGAGAAAAGAAAAGAAGGTCAAAACGTAAGATTCCAGGAGAAACAAAGCGTACTATTGGAGATAAATGTTTATCCCCGAGAACTGAAGCGTTAGACTCCGAATGGATGGAATGGTTTGGTTGTCGTGTTCGTGGGGTGATATCACTCGTTTCTGCCAGGAACTATTGGCTTTTGGGGTGAAATTACTCCGTAGACTGTCAGTTCTGGGTTGCTGGTGGGTCAGACAGCCATCGAGGATCCTCAGGAACGGATCTATCGGCAATTTCGACATCCAAGCATCGAGGCAGATGGAATTCTCAACTTGGCATCAATTGGACCTTCCACTTCTGCATCCGTGCACCCCCAGAGTTAGTGCGACCGATCGATGGAATGCTGATGCTGGTGATGTGTTGTTGATGCAGCGGTCGGGATTAACTCGATTGGGAAACACTAGATTCTAGATAATCTCCAGAGGATGAACAGTGTTTGATCGACTCCGGTAGGGTGTCTAGGAAATACCCCTGCTACTTATCGTATATACTGTTCAAAGGGATTATAAAGTGCTTGATGGACCTTGATGGATGGTAACAAGATGGTATATAGTTTATAGTCTACCAACGAGGTTTTATTCATATCATTGAACACAATAAATTAAATCCAGCAACAATGGGCATAAGCTTTAGACAAGGTCAATAAAAAGTTTAGAATAACAGGCAAGCTCCTTAATTAACTACAGATTACTGTGGAATGGCATTCATTCTGCTGCTTCACTTGCTTGTAAGTTGTTTGCAAGAATAGAAAGAAAGACCCATTGATTCAGGCAGCAACCAGGCCACAACCGTCGGAGTGGAGTCAGCAATAGCGAATGACGGCGGAGATTGCCGGACCCTCGTCAGCCTCAACGCCGGGCCATTCATGCTCTTCGCTTTCATCGGTCTCGGAAACTCTCCCAGCAACCTCCTTCCCTTTCACCCCAGAATTGACCTTTGTATCTCTTTCTCATCCACCTTACTTTCCCACAGCTTGTTGGGATATTTATAACCCCCTCTATCTCTGCTTGTTCACCATCAACCCCTGTCCACAACTAACTCACTTCAACTCATTCACATTTGCTCTCACGGCCAGATTTGCATAGTAAGCAAACGTCTCCCCCCCACCCAGGTACCCCTCATATCTTTAACGTCGTTGGGTTCTGTGACCCAACAACAACAACCCACCGCAGTGCTAAGAGCTGACATCTTCAATCAAAGAACTCGGATCTTCTAGACATCCCTAATACACCTCCACAAAATGGCTGACACACCTGCACCTCACTCCGGTCCCATGTTGACCTTCATCAGTGGCGACGGCGTGCACATTGAGTGTGGTAAGTGCACGCGTTTCAATAAGCTCGACAGACGCGCTCAGTGTCTGTGTCACGATTAGACCCATATATGCTAACATGTGTGAAAATACAGAACGCGATGTTGCCGAGCGCTCCCTTCTCATCAAGAACATGCTGGAAGATCTGGGTGGCGCCAACGAGGAGATCCCGATCCCTAATGTGAGTTATCCGTTCAAGTAAAATGGCCATTGGTGACCATAGCTAACCACACCCGCAACACAGGTCAACGAAGCTGTCTTGAAGAAGGTCATCGAATGGTGCAGACACCACAAGAACGACCCCCCCAGCACTGGCGAGGAGGATGACTCCCGCCGCAAGACCACCGACATCGACGAGTGGGATCAGAAGTTTACCCAGGTCGATCAAGAAATGTTGTTCGAGATCATTCTGGTACGCGTTACGAACTATGATTCACAAAAGCCCCTCAGCTAACTTGGCGCTTAACTCAATAGGCCGCAAACTACCTCGACATTAAGGGTCTTCTGGACGTCGGATGCAAAACCGTTGCGAACATGATCAAGGGCAAGTCTCCGGAAGAGATCCGCAAGACCTTTAACATCCAGAACGATTTCACCCCCGAGGAGGAGGATCAGATCCGCCGTGAGAACGAGTGGGCCGAGGAGTAAGTTCCTTACAAACCCATCCCCCGCTATCTTACCACCTGATCGTATGCTAACATTGTACTTGCTATAGTCGCTAAATCTGCGTTAAGTTACGGCATCAGTATGCTAGCTTCTACGGCTTGTTAATTGGAAGCAAGCCGAGGAAGATGAGCTATCATGATGTTTTAATTCGGGTCTCATTAGGTCTCAGGTTGCAGTTCATGGAGTTAATAGTCTTTTTCTTTACTCTCTCAATCTTTTAACGTCAGCGGTTTGCTTTCTCAGTCTCTCTCTCTTCCCTTTGGCCCTAGCCGTGCGTTCATTATGAGCAGGGGATAGATGTAGCTGTAAAGTAGTTCAAGGTTAGCTTAACCTGTTAACGCCATTGCACATATCGTTGTCAAAAAATACTGTTCCACGTGCAGAGGTAATCTTGCATACTAGAATATCTTAACTAGTATGCAAGACTGGCTACTATCGTGCCTGTAGGACTACGGCCTGCAAAGGAAAGATCTAGGCCTAGATCTACACAAAGCATCCCAGACTACGACACAGTTCAGACCATATCATATACAGACATAGGAAAAGATCTTCGTTCAAACTGCTCATTATCCCATCATGAATTTTCGATTTTTGTCGTTCCTTTCAGCTCGTGTACACACATCTTGCAGAAGCACCACTGCACCACCACAGACCAGTTTAAACCCCCCCATCAAAGAAGAAAACAAAACGAAACATATTTCAACCGCTTATGCACACTCTCTCCTCCCATGCTTAACGAACTACCCCCATCGTGGATAGCAAGCCAGCAAATTGTCCCCCGAATCGGTTTATGTGGGAAAGAGAGAGAGATATGTAAAGGAAAACAGTAGAGAATCAAACGGACTTCTCAAAAAGCGGGTTTTGATTTGAGGCAACATAATCTATAATGATGCAAGTGGATTTTTTGTTCTTTTTTTATCATCGCGAGCAGTAGCGGCACACAAGAGTTGTTGATGTTGGCAGCGGTATCACAGCAACTGAACGAAACATTTTCCCCCGGGAAAGCAGCAGGTGGACAGAGACATTTCTCGGGGCGGAATCGAAAAAGTCGGTTGGTGTGTGTGGTTCCAAAGGACGAATTTAGACTCCGAGACGGGACTTGCGCCAGTGCCTACGCTTGGCGTTGTATCTGGGTTGAGAAAAGGATATGTTAGTATTCATTGTGTTCGACTGTAAAAATGTTTGTGTGTATGAGAGTAGTGTGTGTGGAGTGTGCTGTGTCCTTCGATGTTGTTCCCAGCGGTTTGCCTAGTTGATTGATGATTTTGGCGTGATGGCGAGTCATCTGGTGCTACCACCTTATGCATCCTTCTCTCGTTTCTTCCTTCGCTGGTATCCCCTTCCCTCTAATATTCTTGTGTTCTTCGCTGGGACTCATCGAGGACTTCGCGGGGGTGTTGTGTGGGTGCGTGCAAATGGAACGGTGACGGTTTCTTATTTACCTGATGGTGTTACCGGTCCTGAGACGAATCCACTGGGGGATAGGACGGTTCTGTCTCTGAGCTTTGGCAAGCTTCTGCTTGGTGCGGAAACTCTTGTGGCTCTATATTGAAAAAAGGTGAGCGTTAGCCTGCTGTTCACTTCATCATCCCGACCACTGGTCCTTATTCCGTGTCGCCGTATTCATAATTTTTATTTCCAGCAAAAACGAGGTATTCATGGTCGTTCGAATAACGGGGAGGGCTGCTAACCGGCATCTTGAAGACTTGTCGCGACGGCGAGCTGAGTGTATGGACTGGCGATGATGAGGTTGTCGACCGTCTGTCAAGCCGTTCGTAGTGGTAGTTTTTTTGTGCGGGCAGGGCTTAGCGTTTCGCTTCCGTGGGGTCATGTGATTTATGCCTAAGGCGGAAGGTACCCCATCATTTGGTTTCTTCCTGGTCCAGCCAAAGGTAGTTGATTTCGAATAGTGATATGATGTTAGTGATTTACTTCTGGTTTTGAATTACGGTCAATCTAATGTATCATGCTGAGCCGGCGATGTTCGCAACAATCATAGTATTTGAGCATACTTATCGTGGTATAGTCCCTGAGTGACTGGCTCCCAAACGGGAAGTTACAAGTCACGTGCCATATCGCCCGGCGGCTACACATATTCGGCGCTCCAGTAAAGACCATTCTTGTAGCATCTTGAAGAATAATGTTAGATGTCTGCCATTTGAGATGTGCATGGAAATCTCATGGTGCTTTCGAGGGCAATATCACGTATTTGCTGGTCGATAATAATGTATTGTGCACATTCCACCCTCCCGCGACCTGGACAGTTAGTATGTAGTAGGTATGAACTGGATAGGAATCCCAATCGTTTAACGTCTCCAGGCTACTGCAGATGCGTCTCTGCACAGTTACATCCCCTGTTATCATAGAACAATATATCATCGCAAATGGTTTAGGCCGTTTCAATGGCGAAACAGCGGTGTCTATATGAGTAAGCTGTTCTGGTTTGCAGGACCACGGAGCAGAGCAGGTTAACAACCCCGTCGCATTGATAAGGTGTGGAAGGTGCGTCACGAGCTCAGTTCACGAGCCTGAACCATAAAAAACAAGTTGTGACAATCGGGACTACTACATCATTGATCGATCGGATGTCCTACCGATATTCTCCGGTCATTTCAAGCCACAAACTTTGTGGGAACCTATGCCTTAGCGATTCGACGCATCATAGACAACGGTTTACTCATCGAAAGCGTCTTGTGTGCTTGCCCACATCGGCGTCGGTCCCTCCATCCTCCCCCCCGGTCGACCAGTCATTCAAATGAGCTTATCAACATTATACGAATGAATGGGATTCGTTCGGAAAGCCTATGTTCCGGCCTAGCGTATACGGTATCTACCCGAACATGGCGGGGGTTAGCAAGTCCCGAGCCGCTTCAGGGATCCAAAGGGCTCGGAATGTGCAGTTGCTGGGGTAGTAGCTAAGTACTAGGTGTCAAGGCGTAAGCACTCCATGTCGAGAGCACGAAGGAAGTTTCTCGTTTTGGGCCAGAACGGGCCTGTCAGGTTTATTGATAAGATAGCAAACAGTAGGTATATCGCCTCTTTGACCGATATAGTGAATCCAATGTGATGTTCGAAATCCCACCTTAGATCAATCATTCCAAACTATAGAATCACAGGCAGTGAATACAAGTGGTAACTCTGTACAGCTGCAGGATTTAATAAAATCATGTCGGGGACCCAAACAGGTCAATTCTCGTAAGCCGAACACGAAGCTAACTAGTTAGACAGTATTGGGGGATGAGTCAAAAGTCGACGTGGTAGCGAGATACTACTATCAGCATTAGCAGTGGAGATGTCCATGGTAACGGGCCATTCAAGGATTCCAGATGGACCAATGGAGGAAGTACAAAGGACCAGGGTCGGTTAGTTTTTGATATCGATATGCCTAATTTGGCATCGATTGCGATCGGTAGGAAGTATCTAGCGGGCGACGGTGCTCGGAGACCCCGACTGCCGACCTTCTGTGCAGAACACAATAAAGATCCTTTCAACAATCTTTGTCTCAGGCACGCACACCAACAAAATTGATGCTGTTAGGCTGCCATCTTGATGACATTCACGCAAAGTCGCAATCCTTTGCCCACATGGCCTTTTGTCCGGTGGAATCTGAAACATCACTAAATTGAACAACATTACGTTCAGGGATAATGATGAAGAATACGGAGTACATGTCTTGTAGAAGATACCTCGCGGTTGGCGAAAGTAAACAAAGGCATCTGGTGCGGCATGTTTTGACGTAGATCACATATTCTTTGGAGTCATGGAATGCACAAGGAAAAGGTACCGCCCCTGAATTCCTTATGTCAAGTAGCTGTCTAGTCAATTGTTGTGTATGGAGTAGAGTTCGGAAAATTGGGGCCTCTCAAGTCTCAGATTCCGCTAGTTTAACTGTCGAAGCATGAACGGCAGGGCAGCCCCAGCCTGCGTAGTAGCTAAAGGTTGCTGTTTCTGGAATGGACCTCCGATGCTACCAGCCTACACTACAAATCTATCTACCCTGTATCTACCCTAGTTAGCAGATTCTGCTAGATATAGGAGGAACAGAGTAGACTACTCGTATTCATTGCCTTCACTTTGGTACCCAAAAGAAGCCTAGGCGGGTCTTCGGTAAAAATAAGTCTACTCGCAGTTAGATTTTTTTTTTTTATTCCCAGGCGGAGTTGTGTCGGACCCCGCCACTTAGTGATCAGACTAAAACCCTTTAGCCATACCACAACTGGCGTCGTATTCGTAATACGATTGGTAGGGGGCCCTTGTCTGGTTCTTCTTCAGGAGGGAAAATCGAGGATGTTACGCGCGGTGGTTCTAGAACCAGATCTGAAGCATCATCCATTGAAGCTTCGGTATAGGAGTATGACTGTTGTGAGTCATAAATAGGTTTCGCCCCTAGCTAACTGATCAATTATTCTGACTCCCGATGTACGAAAGTGCTTGCTATCCTGGAAGAAAGTATAGCCTAGGTGAATAAGGTAACAACAACCATGGTTGTTCTTGGAAATTTGAGCGAGGGCCGGTTCATAGAATGCTGATTGATCGTAGGCAAGATTTCCGTGGTGTCTGTATGGAGTTAGCAGTGTGTGGCCTTATCGTTTGTTATTATTGACCTGCAGTGTAACAGAGTACTGCGGTGTCATTAACTTTTACCAATAAAATATCTAATAAGCTTCCTTCTGCAGAGACTTTGTAAGACTATTGAAGAGTATTGCAGCAGTCATTCTTGAATCGCGGCAACCAAACAATCAACAACCAGTTAGATATTAATAGGCCAGTGTAGATACCAAAATACCACCGTTCTACCGCATCTGGATAAGCTTCAGCATAAATCTCGGGAATATTAGCAGGTGGAGGTCCGGTGACCAGTGGGGGAGATGCATAAAATGGCCCTCGGGAAGTCGGGGCTCCGACCGAGCAAATGGAACTAAACGCGCGACGGCCACTAAAAAAGTAATCCACCATTCAATCAAGCAAAAGAAGATTGGAAGGCAAAGATGGGGACTTGTCCGCTGACGCAGATACCTTTTTTGTCTCTAGTTGAGCCAGAAGGCCAGCTCTGGATCCAGAATCAAGTCTGATGCCTATTATTCTTTAATTATGATTAATATTAGAGCCTCCTCCCCTTTTTTCTCTTTTCCCACATTTTTAAATCTCCATCTTGCCCTGGTACTTTTATCCAGTCTGACTTGCCCTTTCCACCACATAAGTTGTAGTTGATCATTCCATCCCTATCTGCCAACGCGTGTGGAGGAATATCTCACAACAGGGCACCAGCCATCCTATCTCTTCTAAACACCCCTCCCCCTCCCCTGCTCCCTTCCCTGCGCGTACTTCTCTCCCTCGCGTCCATTATTTTGGGGGAAATCGGTCAGCTCCTCCGGCTTCAAGCAACTTCAACCTTCCCTTATCAGCTAGCCCGCCTCATGGAGTAAAGCAATCACTTGTCATCATCTTTCACCCTCTTCCATATATACCAGAGAGTGAGGCTTTCGTTTCGACTCCTCGAACGGAATGTCTCACCCAGAGAATGAGCACGTCTCGGCGGAGACATCCCCGAACGACGTTGAATTGACGGCAATGGACGGGGCGCGTTCATCCTCAGCAGAGCAGCGCAAGTCAAGCGGCCAGTCGTCAATCACCAGTACGACAATGGTGCCTGCAGGAGAAAAGGGCCCGGCTTCTCAGCCATCCACTGGCAACCAGCTCGCCCGAGCAGATGATTCGGATGCGCTGTATGCGCATCTTCCCGAACACGAGAAGCAGATCTTGAAGATGCAGTTGGACGCGGATGATGTGAATGTGTCGTTCTTTGGTCTATTTCGCTATGCTTCCCGAATGGACCTTGCGATTATGTTTGTGAGCGCGATATGTGCCATTGTCGCAGGCGCGGCGCTGCCTCTTTTTACAGTGAGTGCCTATCTATGATACCAATTGGCAACAATGAGTTCCTCTGGACTAATCTCGACCTAGATTCTCTTCGGTTCCTTAGCCTCAGCTTTCCGAGGGATAGCCTTATATGAGATTTCGTACCACGACTTCTACCACCAGTTGACTAAGAATGTTCTCTATTTTGTTTATCTCGGCATTGCAGAGTTCGTCACTGTATACATCTCCACCGTCGGCTTCATCTACACCGGTGAACACGTCACCCAAAAGATCCGCGAACACTACCTTGAGTCGATCCTGAGACAGAACATGGGATACTTCGATAAGCTGGGCGCCGGTGAAGTGACGACTCGCATCACAGCTGACACGAACCTCATCCAAGACGGTGTCTCCGAAAAGGTTGGATTGACCTTGACCGCCATCGCCACGTTTGTCACCGCCTTTATTGTCGCTTATATCAAATATTGGAAGTTGGCACTGATTTGCACTTCGACGATTGTGGCGTTGGTTCTGCTTATGGGAGGTGGCTCTCGGTTCATTGTTAAGAACAGCAAGCAGGCTCTGCAGAGCGCCGGTGCCGGTGGTACAGTAGCGGAAGAAGTTATCAGCTCCATCCGCAATGCGACTGCTTTCGGAACCCAGGATAAGCTCGCAAAGCAATATGAGACTCATCTGGCTGAGGCTGAGAAGTGGGGTATCAAGACCCAGGTGACCCTTGGTTTCATGATCGGTGGCATGTTCGGTATTATGTTCTCCAACTATGGCCTTGGTTTCTGGATGGGCTCCCGCTTCCTCACCGATGGCGAGGTTAATGTTGGCCAGGTCCTGACTGTGTTGATGGCTATCCTGATCGGCTCGTTCAGTTTGGGTAACGTCAGCCCTAACGCTCAGGCGTTCACAAACGCTGTTGCCGCTGCTGTTAAGATTTTTGGTACAATTGACCGCCCTTCACCCCTTGACCCCTATTCCGAAGAAGGCGAGAAACTCGAGCATTTCGAGGGCAACATTGAGTTCCGTGACATCAAGCACATTTACCCTTCGCGACCTGAAGTGACCGTCATGGACGGTGTTTCTCTAAGCATGCCTGCCGGAAAGACGACGGCCTTGGTGGGCCCGTCTGGCTCTGGAAAGAGTACCGTTGTCGGACTCGTTGAGCGCTTCTATTTCCCCGTTGGGGGCTCTGTCCTGTTGGACGGCCATGATATCTCGACTCTCAACCTTCGTTGGTTGCGTCAGCAAATCTCGCTGGTCAGCCAAGAACCTGTTCTCTTCGGCACTACAATTTACCACAACATCCGCTATGGTCTCATTGGCACCAAGTTTGAGCAAGAACCCGAGGATAAGATCCGAGAGTTGATCGAAAATGCAGCTAGAATGGCTAATGCCCATGATTTCATCACGGCACTTCCCGAAGGCTATGAGACCAACGTTGGTCAGCGCGGCTTTTTGCTCTCCGGAGGACAAAAGCAGCGTATCGCCATCGCCCGGGCCATTGTGAGCGATCCCAAAATCCTTCTACTCGATGAAGCAACGTCTGCCTTGGATACAAAATCTGAGGGCGTCGTACAAGCAGCACTGGACCGAGCTGCTGAAGGTAGAACTACTATCGTGATTGCCCACCGCCTATCTACAATCAAGACGGCGCACAATATTGTTGTCATGGTGAATGGAAAGATTGTGGAGCAAGGGAACCACAACGAGCTTGTCGGCCGTAAGGGTACCTACCACAGTCTTGTTGAGGCTCAGCGTATCAACGAGGAAAAGGACGCGGAAGCTTTGGCTGCCGATGAGGATGTGGATGAGGAAGATTTCTCGAAACACGAAATTGCGCGCATCAAATCTGCTAGCAGTGGGTCTGGCTCTATCGATGATGAGGATGAGAAGTCGCTCGCCGGGAACGGACTAAACCGCAGTGGAACGCACAAGTCCATCTCCAGCGCCATTCTTTCTAAGCGGGAGCCCGAGGTGGCTCGGAAGTACTCCCTTTGGACGTTGGTCAAATTTATCGCCTCTTTCAATCGCCCCGAGCTCAAGTATATGCTCATTGGCTTGGTCTTCGCTGTCCTTTCCGGTGGCGGCCAGCCGACTCAGGCTGTGCTCTACGCCAAAGCTATCAGTACACTTTCGTTGCCTACTAGCGAGGCCGCCAAAATCCGACACGACGGGGCTTTCTGGGCTCTGATGTTCTTCGTTGTTGGAATTGCCCAGTTCATCAATCTTTCCATCAATGGTGCCGCATTTGCCGTCTGTTCAGAACGACTGATTCGTCGCGCCCGTAGCATGGCCTTCAGGTCAATTCTTCGCCAGGATATTACCTTCTTTGACCGAGAGGAAAACAGCACTGGTGCGCTCACTTCATTCCTTTCGACGGAGACTAAGCATCTTTCTGGAGTCAGTGGCGCGACCTTGGGAACTATTCTCATGACCAGCACTACTCTCGGCGCAGCTATGATCATCTCTCTATCTATCGGATGGAAACTGGCTCTGGTTTGTATCTCTGTGGTTCCTATCCTTCTGGGTTGTGGTTTCTACCGTTTCTACATGCTTGCGAGATTCCAACAACGATCCAAGACTGCCTATGAGGGGTCTGCAAGCTACGCCTGCGAAGCGACATCTGCTATTCGCACTGTGGCCTCCCTCACTCGGGAGCAGGATGTCTGGGCAATGTACCATTCTCAGCTGGAGGACCAAGGTCGGAAGAGTTTGATATCCGTGCTGAAGTCTTCTATCCTTTACGCATGCTCGCAGGCTCTTGTTTTCTTCTGCGTTGCACTCGGCTTCTGGTATGGAGGTACACTCCTGGGTCATCACGAGTACTCAGTCTTTCGCTTTTTCGTCTGCTTCTCCGAAATCCTGTTTGGCGCCCAGTCCGCTGGTACTGTTTTCTCTTTCTCTCCTGACATGGGCAAGGCAAAGAACGCTGCAGCTGAGTTCCGGAGACTGTTTGACCGGAAGCCAGAGATCGACACATGGTCCGAAGAGGGCGAGCAGCTCGAATCTGTGGAAGGCGAGATTGAGTTCAGGAACGTGCACTTCCGGTACCCTACCCGTGCCGAGCAGCCTGTCCTGCGAGGCCTGAATTTGACCGTCAAGCCTGGACAATACATTGCCCTTGTCGGGCCCAGTGGATGTGGCAAGAGTACGACAATTGCGCTCCTTGAACGTTTCTACGATGCCATCGCTGGCAAGGTTCTTATCGATGGAAAGGATATCACTCAAATCAATGTCAACTCATACCGCAGTTTCTTGTCGCTCGTCAGCCAGGAACCCACTCTGTACCAAGGCACCATCAAGGAGAACATTCTGTTGGGAGTCCGCGGAGAAGATGTGACGGAGGAGCAACTGGTGAAGGCTTGCAAGGATGCCAACATCTATGACTTTATCATGTCCCTGCCGTAAGTTAACACCTTCGTTTTGTCTCTGAAGGATCTGGCACTAACAACTTTTTCAGTGAGGGTTTCAATACCGTTGTTGGTAGCAAAGGAGGTATGCTGTCCGGAGGTCAGAAGCAGCGTGTGGCGATCGCACGTGCCTTAATCCGGGATCCCCGAGTGCTTCTCCTGGATGAAGCCACCTCTGCTCTTGATTCCGAGTCCGAGAAGGTTGTGCAAGCTGCGTTGGATGCCGCGGCCAAGGGCCGAACCACGATTGCCGTCGCACATCGTCTGAGTACGATTCAGAAGGCCGATATCATCTATGTTTTCGACCAGGGGAAGATAGTCGAAAGCGGAACCCACCAAGAATTGATCCGGGTGAAAGGCCGTTATTACGAGCTGGTTAATTTGCAGAGCCTGGACGGTGGCAACTAATCTTTATTGCATCCTGTTTAGACCTCTACTGTCTGTTTGCTTTGCTTATACCCCCCCTTATACTTGCGTTTATTTCTCATCTCTATTTATCCTGTAATGTGTTATGATCTCTTCTCAAAAGCCATGTTTGGTGTTGGCTCTGGTCATCGCTCAGTTTTTTTTTTTGCTACTTCTTAAGCTGCATTCATCGGCATGGAGTGGGCGGGCATTCTGCTTGCTTGGAATGGAAACTCTCACGATTGTACTTTAATTTAACAAGACAACCCTTCATATCTGTTGTTCGCTGGAGTATATAAAAGTAGTAGCATTGCATGACAGGTAATTTTGATCACATTATCAGATGGGCTCTGACTCTACTGTTGCATCTGTATGCCTGGGAAGATTACTTCTCGCCATCCATAAACGCCAAACCACAAACCCATGATCAAACCTATTTACCCGTCAATGAACACCAAAGGAAGTGACAACTATTCTGGACGCCTGCATCAATGAATAATCCATCATTCAACATTTAATCATGAATCAATCCCCATCATCCACTTCATACTCCCTCTGCACGTCCACCTGCCGTACACCACGAGCATCCGCAATCAACCCCATCAATCCCTGGGCAATGTCTTTGATTTCGTTGTACTCATGGAGAAGACGAATGTGCCGTTTGACCGTCGTAGATGGGTCATTTCTAGATTTAGTGTCAGTATGTGAGGATACTAATTATGTGCCCGAATGAGAATGGTAAGAGGATTACGGAGCTGCTTGGTTTCATACTTCAATTTGGCCTTGGTCTGTGCTATTTGCGACTCTATTTCTGTGATTTGGGATTGCAGACTGGCGATGGATGCGCGGAGGGTGGACTGTTTACTTTGGTTAAGTGTTGCTGCTTATGGTAGAGGGTATGGAGTTACCAGCTTCTTTTCTTTTTGCGTCTGCTCGTCACAAGCTGGTGTTTTGGTGGAGGATGTGGCTTGCTGGGGTGGTGGCATGATGGTATGCGCATGCAGGGGGGGTTCTTCCTATCTGATCTTCTCCATGTGTGGAACCCGGGCTGTTAGAGGGAATTGCCAGATGTCACAGGATAGCCTTGGCAATGATTCAGACAGATGCCTTGACTGCCTGGTGTGGAGAGAGAATAGTGTAGATACTAAGTAAAGAGTACGTAGGCCTGGATGGGGCCCGTCTCCTTCTATGCCGTCCGATCTGCGGTTTCACAGATGAACGAATCCACTGTCAAGCGATGATGGAAAATCTTTCACCACGGGGTGGACTTATGTTTGTTATCTATTCTAAGAAGACAGATTAGCAATGGCAGTGAGCTAGATAGACTGGTCTCCAACGAATTAGTTCTCATCTCATTATACTAGTAGGTAGTATACTGACGGCCTGGTAACTGTGACCATACAACGCTGGCCGACCAATCCGGTTCGCTCGATTTCGCGGCTCCCTTAATAAGGCCGAATAGGGAACCGACACCCGCCTCCGCCTCCATCAATAATCTTCATTCCCGATCGTCTGACTCTCTCTCTTTCTCTCTCTCTCTCCTTCCCCTCTTCTTCTTCACTCTTTCTCTTCTCGCAAAAGGGTGAAGTTGATCATGGCGATACTAAGTCGACTTGGGCCCCAAGGGTTGCTGGCAGTCCTGCTGCTTGCTTCCCCCACCCTGGCCCACGGGGGCCATGAGAGTGTCCCCGAGGGTGCCGCCATCTCCGAGGATCCGATTGTATGTTGTCGCACCCACGGCTGACCTGTCTGCGATTGCTGCGGCCTCAACATTATACTGACTAGTCGCCTAGGACACAACACTATGGATACATATGATCCTTATGGGATTTGCCTTTGGCGTTATCTTTCCCTTGGGCATGGTTCTTGGGGTAAGCTGGCCCGGTTACATCCTGTCTCCGACCTTCCGCGGTCTGGGATACTCGATTACTCGATCAAATGAGACGCATATCTGACATTTCCGCTTTACCATCATAGATTATACGCTCGCGCTGGCACGTCCCTCTCCAGATTGTCGGAACAATTATCGCTGTGCTCGCATACTTCCTCGGACATGCTCACAAAGGCCGCCAGTTCTCGAAGAACGTCCACGCGTCCTTTGCGAACACACTGATGCTCATGATGGTGGTGCAGATCGTCCTCGGCGTCTATCTCAAGCTGCACATTACCAAGGGAATCCATGGCCGGATCCGCCGGGTTATTGTGATTACGCACGGAGTGGTTGGAAAGGCGATGCCTGTGGCGAGCTGGGTCCAGATGCTCTTCGGAGGAATCACTGCCATGGGATTCTGTCGGGATGATCACTTGGGACAGTGCTTGGCTCATTTCATCATGGGCAGCGCTTTCATCGCCTACGGTATCCTGCTGACCATCCTACTCCTCGTTGGCCAGTACTGGCTGCGCCGCACTGGCCGCAGCCAGGAGTTCTTCGACTCGTTGATCATCGCTGCATGGGGATGTGTCAACACCTTCACGGAACACCGTTGGGGAGGTCCCTGGGTCCACAATGATTTGCAGCACACTACTATGGGTGTCGTCTGGTGGTGCGCCGGTCTACTGGGTATCTGGATGAGCCGGAAGCGCAACGGCCGGCCCAAGCGGAACTTGATCCCAGCCATAGTCATTCTCCTTACTGGTTATGCCATGTCTGCCCACCCGCAGACTCTGATGATCAGCACTATGATCCACTCCATCTTCGGCTACACGTTAATGGCTGCCGGTTTCACCAGAATCATTGAGATCTCCTTCGTGCTTCGGGACAAGGGCTCTGTCAGCCCGGACGGATCTGACCCTAACAGCTTCCAATATCTCACGCCTTTCGTAAGTCTTCCACAGCCCTTCCGGCTGAAGTGGATCGTCATTTCTAACTTATCGCAGCTTCTGTACGCCTCAGGCTTCCTCTTCATGGGCGCCACCGAAGAGCAGATGCAACTCCTGAACGATGCAGGAATTACTCACGTCTCCTACGTCCTGATTCTCTACAGCATCGCCTTCATTCTCTTCCTATGTAAGACCACCTCCCTCCCCCCAAAACCAGAGAACCACACTAACCCCACCCCCAACACAGTCGTCAACGTGCTCCTGCACATCTACGCTGTCCATGCATGGCCCGAATCCGCACAAGCGCCTTCCCATTCGCGCTCTTCCAGCGCTGCAGATGCCGGCGAGGGCTCATCCCGCTATAGACCGACCGCCAACGGCCGCCTCATTAACGGCCATGCCCGCTCACCCTCAGAAGCACAGCACCTGCACGATGCGGAGGAATTTGAACTCCAAGGTCTCATCTCCGACGAGGAAGATGACGCGAAAGACACCCACGCCATGGGTCCGCGGAAGACTGAAGACGAGGAGAGCTCTCCTTTGGTAGCTAATGGGACAGCAGCTACGACGCATTAATAAAATTCCTTCAGAGGGAGTGTGCATTTGGTGTTTCTTATATATTTCTTTTCTTTCTCTTTTAAAAGATCGTTGTGATATCAACTATATTATTTCCTATTTTCTTTTCATTTTCTTCTTTTGTTTCGGATACAGATATCTACAGTACTGTGTAGTATTTAGCTCGCTGTAGCTACGGGGTTTGGCGTGAATATTGGGTTGGGTACTTTCTGTGCATAAGCTTGAATCATAAGTTGACTCCGTAATTTTAGTATAGTGTTCACAAATCCTTGATATCAATACAAGCGACTTATTTAACGAATGCGAGAAGAAAAAGAAAAAAAGTCTAGATGGCTTTATTTTTGAGTAAACCCCCGGAAGATGTCGAAATCGTGTTATCAGATCTATCGTACACGTCGTAAGCGGGTCCCCAATCAAGCAGGGGATACCGATATGCAAAAAGGAAGAAAAGAAAGAAGGGAAATAGGAGGAAAGGGCGAGATGAAATACTCTTCATCGAGAAAATGCTGGCCATTCTCAACTGCCGTCTACGTCTTAGGGCATTAAAGGTGCCGGGGCTGGCTCGCCATCTGACGGGATGGCTTGGACAACTGGAACCACGGGTGGAATGGCACTCTCGACTTCCGGGGGGAAGAATGGATGTAAGGGGTAGATGGGAGCGGCGGAGCGTTCTCCATCGAAGAGAAGCATGTTCTGGAGGGGATGTTCTCGTGCGCTCAAGACGTTGATCACGTCCTGGGCGAGATGGCCGCCTACAAATGCGGCTACAGGGCTCAGTTCACTTCCCAGATTTTGTAGGAAAGTGCGCAGAAACCCGGCATCCAAGGTGGTGATGTCGAGCTTGAGTTCTTGGTGACAGTCGCGGGCGTGCTTCGTGAAGAGTTCCAGGTCTTGGTGGGAGAATGTGGGCAGGGCGCCGGCGGATGATTTCTGGTATTCCCATAATGCGCGGAGGCAGGTGAGAAGGGGTGTCACTTGTTTGCGCTTGCGTGCGATTCGGGTGAACTCCTCCGGAAGTGGCGAAGTGTTTGCGAGGATCAGCGGAGAGTACACCTCGCGCTTGGTCACCATTTCAATGACTTTCTCGTTCTCTTTCTTTGTGGTGATATTCAGGATGCTGCGGGTCGGGGTTTCCTGCGTGGCGGATTGGACGTTGGACTTCGTCCGCTCAATGACGAAATCGTGCGAGATCAGATCGGCGAAGACGAAGCCGTAGAATCCGTGCAGCCCGGCGGCATAGAAGGGGCGGTTTGCGATGCGACAGGCCGCATTTATGGTGGTGTATGTAGGGAAGTCAAGCTCGGTTGCGATGGTAATGTCAAATTGGGCGAAGAAGTCGGGCTGTTTGAGGTGGATGTCTTCTGTGTCAATGTGAAGCTGGACGCGCGGGTTCATGGCGCGGACAGAGGGCGCTGCCGCTTGCGCACGCTGTGTTGCGATCAGTATGTGGACAAAGCTTGTTAAGAATGGAACAGCGCACGTTTTGACCCAGGTGTTCTTCATTTATAAAGAATTGCGCGCCCAAGTCCTCTTCTGTCACCACCTCATGATCAACGATGGTCAAGGAGCCAATGCCTGCCAATACCAGATTCTTCGCAACTTCGTTCGCCAGCGACTTGAAGGTGATGAGGAGGATATTTGCGGATCGTAGCCTACGGAGGAATTATCGTCAGCTTGATAATGCTGGTAAACATTGTAGTCAGGTGGGAGAGCTCACTTTTCTTGTGCTTTAACTCCCCAGAGGCGGATCTGGCGATCGTAAAGAGCTATCTCGTCTATTGCGAAATGTCAAACGTCGGCTTCCACACTTAATAGTAGAAGCTCCTCGGAAGTGAGCTATGTTCCTTACCCGCACTGATGGTCTGAGTTGGATCAGGCTGTGGCTCCATTGCGATTGTTCGCGAAGGCTTTCTTTCTTGTCTATGTCGGAGAGCCGGAGGGGGAGTGAGGGGAAGAAGTATGGGACGCAAGACGGCGAATGGAGAGTAGCGGATAAAGGCGGATCGACCAGCAGACGTGTGACTTGCATGCACCTTTACCGTCGGCAACGGGACCTATCTGGAAACCGATCCAGGTGAAAGAGAGACTGTATATGAAGAGAGTGCAAGAAGGGAAGCGGAGAAACAGGCAGGAGTAGAGCTTACCCCAGCATCATCACGTGCATGGGCGATTGAATGCTTTGGGGAAATCAACCAAATCACTTATCAAACCATCCCAATTTCACCCCCTCATCAATCATCCCCCCCAATCTATCATCTCGCCTCCTTCTTACCGCTCATTCATCAGCCTTCATTTTCTTGTTCGAGGCCCTTCTCATGTCACCGCTGTGGCGTTATTGTGTCTCCCCCTCGTCGTCTGCCTAGCTGCTCTTTAATTTGTGTCCTCCGTCATTGCCTCATATCGCGGTATAGTTACTCGGCCTCCGCTTCCGCTTCCGCTCGCTCACTGCCTCCCTCCCGGTGCCCCCCGAGCCATCCCCACTGACTACGAACAACTCACTCTCACAGGATGGTACGTTTGTGAATATAGCCTTTCCTCTGCTGCCAATAGAAGCCTTACACGGCCTAAACATCCATCTGCCACCCCGCTTTGCTGCAGCTATTGACTGGCATGTACCACTACAGTCGGGGAATTACGACTATCCTCCTGCCTCTCGCCGTCCTTCTCGTGGAGCTCGAACCAATGACCGACAACTACAGCAGCAGCAACAACAGCAACCTCCGGTGAATCGTTTGCAGCATCTCCGGGAGCTACTAACCTCGGAGCGTAACCGCGGTGACTTCGCCTTTGCCCGTGCAGTGGAGACCTTAAATCAAGAGATGGACGATTACCGCTCTTCTCGTTCCTGGGACCGTTCTAGCTTTGAGCAAGCCAGGGCAGCCCTCGACCAGCATATGCAACAGCTCCAGGAACGAACGAGACAAAGCCGTGCCAATAGGGGCAGCTCGGGGCCGCCGATGCGTCCGCGTCCAGCAGTACCAAGACTGCAGCCTTTGAATGTTACAGCGGCGAACCCAGAAGAAAGCGCTTCCGATCTCTCACATTCTGATAGCAGAACTCCAAGGCCCCGGGCGGGTAGGGGTAGCGACCGATCTAATCGTCTAAGACGGCCTAGAGATTCCAATCCTTCCTCTCTCCTGGATACGCCGGTCCCTCACTTAGACTCTCCCACCGTCATGCCTCAACAGGTCGAAGATGAACACCAGTTGGACCGCGCAAGGACCAAACGTCGAAAGCTTGAGACAGATGATAATAGAGAAGGACTACAGGGCTTCCGCTACGGTCAATATGGCCAGGTGGTGCCTGGAGCACTTAGGATGGAGTTAACTAGCTGCGATGGGGGAACTTATGACCCACACGGCGAGAGCTCATTTCCAGAGAATATTCTTCGCAATGACGCTTCCGTATACTGTACGAAATCTGATCGCTGCAATCTTGTTCTGAAGCACCATGGGGAGTCCCCGTTCTGCCTGAAGAAGATTGTAATCAAAGCGCCCAGATTAGGCTACAACTCCCCGTATGTTTCGGCTGGGCTAGAAACCCCATCTCAAACTGTCACTAACAATTTCAAAAGGATCCGGGAAGGCATGGTTTTTGTATCAATGTCATGTGATGAAGCCCTAGCTCGTACAGCTGCTTTCGAAGTGCAATGGGAATCAACTCGACCCTTCGCGCGGCATCTACCCAGCGGAATGCAGCCATCCCAGGAGTATCTCAACGCATATCGACCTCCATTGCAGAGTTTAGGTCGGGGGCCAGTCATTAATCACTCCTGGGATTCAGAATCAGATAGTACTGATGAACCCGGCGCTGTAGAACCTAGTGTTAGCAATGTGCCAGACCCCACGTCCGAATTTCGGGTCACAACTGAGTACGGTGCGCAGTCTGACGTACGTCATGACCGGGATGACCATATGGACGACGACGAGCTGCTCTCCCTTACGGATACCGATAGCATTCCCATGGGGCGGATGGACGAGGACAATATAATATGCTCGGACAGTGACATGAGCTTAAGCGACGATGATTCAAATGTCAGCACATTTACACGACGTCAGCGAGAGCTATCAAGACGAATTCGAGCCATGCGTCGCCGATACGTCGCAGAGCGAGATAGCCAAACAAGGCGACGACCATACCTAGCCATGCCATCACCAGGTCTGCGCCCTGAAGGCACACGTGGCTCAGAGACTCCTCAACTAATGAAACCACATGCTCGCTTTTTCATTGAGCGTAATAAAAGCATGGTCAGCATCAAATTCGATCCTCCTCCGTACGTTCCTTCCCATCATACTCCTCTCAAAAGGTATACATAACTCCCTAACCATCCAATACAGCTCAGGACGATATATCCTCGTCAAATTATGGAGTCCTCACAGCGGCAAAAACATAGATATACAAAGCATCATCGCCTACGGCTACGCGGGGACCAGATTCTTCCCTGCCTTGAGTTTCAGGTAAACCAAACCAGTGGGGTTGCTCTTCTTTCTCCTTTCTTCTATCTCCCCGAATCAACAATACCAGAATGTTATCTGGGTCTGCTACTGTAGATTTTCACTTGCATACAATAATACAGCCAACCAGCACAACTAGACGAATGCACATTGCGAAAGCTCGGAACGGAACTGCACGGAATGGAACATAATGCTTGGTGTATATGGAGTATGGCGTACATCAACTATTATCTCATGGTTTTCTTTTTCTCAACCTTTTCCTCCTTCCGAACACTGGGACCCGGACTGCTGACATGAACTTATCATCCCTGGGGTTAATTGTTATTGCAGACGCCTTCTTTAATCACATCACATCACATTACATGCTGTATTCATTAATGATCCATGATCCCATGCATGTCTGCATGTCTGCATCATACCCCTGCTATAACCAATTTCAAATGAATCATGGGACATCATCATATAATAAGATAGTTTGTCCCAAACGAAAAGAAAGACTAGATTGTACTCCGTACACTTTTACTATCACCAGAACTACCATTTAAAAGTCACCCGCCTACCTATTAACACCTTCCATCATATTGAAAAAGAATCGTTAATTTGAAAAAGAAATGGCTATTTATCACTGAATACATCAATCGTCAAAGGCCATGAACAGAAAGCACAGGAAGGAGGTCAAGATCACTCAATCCAGCAAAGTAAAATACAAGCAAAGTCATCATCCAACGAAGCCCAGACTAGCATTGCGCCCTTTTCCGCGTTGAGTAAGTCACAAAAAGAAGGAAGGAAAGTGAGATCGGCTCCTGTATATTGGGCCGTCATGTAAAATGAGTGACAAGGGTGGGTAGTGTGATTAGACATGAAAACCCCTGTCTGAGATAGATCAGGGTCACATGAGTTGAGAGAAACCAGGCCCAAAATGCTATAAACCCATGGAATGGACATGCACGTATCGTTGCCGGATGTTGAGTCCCATACCAAAGGGAAGATCGGGTAGGCCAGCCAAAAGCAGGCAGGTAATCAGCAAGTTGGGGGCTTCCGTAGACGTGGTTTGTCGTTATTAGCTGTTCCTGGAACGAGCCAGGCCAGAAATTTGTAAACGAGGGGAAAGTATTAAAATGAGCGTAGGAAAAGGAAACGCCAGGAAGAATGGCATCCCGACGACAATAACCTGAGAATCGTCGGCAGACCGAAACATATGTACAAAGACGGGCCTCGGTCATCTGCAGCCACAGCGTGAAGTGAAACAAAATATGGAAAATTAGCAGGATCAACCCGCTATTAGATTTGTACGATCGCCAACCTGCACAGACAGCATTGCTGCAGGTCAACGTATCTCGAATCGATGCTGTCATTTCTCGTCTCTCGTGCAAAGATCGTCGAACGCCGAGCTTTCCTCTGAAATAGACGTAAATAGTGTTCAAGCCAAAATTGTACTCCGGAAAAAAAGATTCCAACTCCGCCCATAAGCAAAGAAAACGGGTTTTTCTTTCCAAGAACGAAATTCAAACGCATATGTGAAAGTAAATTATATGACGACGACATCTCCCTCAGCATCCGCTGGGTCAGAGACCATCATATCACCATATTTACCAACAGTCATCAGCATCGAATCGTCGTCAAGGTCAATGGCGCTATCATCATTATTGGGAGCCTGGAAGCCAGTAATGCTTTCGGAAACACCGCTAGGCTTCTCTGTTTCCAATGTACTCTGGTTCGATTCGGCTTCCATCTGCGAGCGATGCATTGGTGTCTGCGTTTGCGTAAGGCTCTCCGCTGATGTTAGACTGGCAGCCGACCTTGTCCTCGAATGAGAAGCGTGTTGGGACTCATTCTTGTCCGGCACTGGGCAGTTAGACGGTTTCATGAGGAAGTTGGTTGGCCCCTGCTGGTTTGAGCTCAGGGTTGCGTAGTGCAAGGTGCTTGGGGTGTAACGCATAAATCCTCCTTTTTCGGCCTGCCATAGCATCATTTCATGGAAGAAAACCTTGGTCATCCACCAGGCGCTGAAACTTTGGGCGCCACCTAGAGTCAACCGCCGTAGTATGCAATCCCATAAAGCATCGACTTTGTCGATAATACACTGCGTACTGTTATGGGGGAAAACGGAAGGTAGGTTGAGGATGAATGAGATCCACTTGTCCGGGAAGTTGTAGTCATCTCCCGCAGCCGACTCCACGGGGTACTTGTGTGCCTGGATGTCTTCTTCGGTATCCGGCCGGGTGTAGAATGGAAGGGCGGCAGAAGGATTCATGTCCGCGACAGGAGTAAGCAAAGCTCGAACATCGTGTTTCAATACTAGTGCTGTTGCGCGTTCGGAACAGCATGGAATATTCGCCTTCACGATCATCTCCTGCGGATCCACCAAAGTTTTAAAGTCGAACCACATTTGATTTCTGTTGTCTGGATGGCACAACCAAGCCGCAGCGGCGTTTGCAGACTGATTCACATCGAGCATGTGCTTCAGCAGGTTGCAAAAGATATGAGCCGGGATTAATCTCGCCTCTGACACATGCAGTGGCTGAGACTTGAATGTATCAGCAATATGGGATGTGAGTTTCTGTGAGATGGAGCTGAAAGCATCCAACACAAGCTTGGGAACGACCTGCGTTGTAAGTGGCGCTACAAAAGCGATCATTTTCTGGTACATTATCCAGTCACATTCCTTGATCCACGGGGCGAGATTCGGGTGCGTCAGCAGTTTCTGAACTGGTACGGTCAACGTTCCATGGAAGGCGGAGAAATATCGTAGCATGTTTCTTTCCTTGCAGTATCTGAAACTGTCAATGACGGAGATGCAGTGTGAACGGTAGAGAGCCGCAAGAGCTGCGGCAATCTTCGAATCCGTATTGGCGGGTAGGTAGTCACTGATATCAGGAAGCTGCAGGGATTCGTTGTCCATCGGGGGAGAGTCGGAAGATGGTAGGTGAAGCATTTGGTGGATCAGCTTTCCCGATGTGCTTGCCATATTGTCAAGTCTGATGGACGAACCACCGTGGGACTCCGATGAAGATTGGCAGTCACATCCTGCAGTAGAAGGGCTTGCAGTGAACTTTGGTGCGAAAGATGTCGTAGGCGAAGGGAATACGGCAGTATCTGCAGGAGGCTGTGGCGCAACACTAACACTGTGATCTATGTAAGTACTCAAATCCGTGAATGAGCCATCACGTGACGCACCTCTTCTGCATCATGTCATCAACTTTGCTTTCAGCGATATTTGCTGCGCTGTTCGTGTTCGAGGGCAATTGTGGATTGAGTGGAGGTGGCTTCTGCTGCTTCTCCTCTATGACAGTGAGGTCCACATAGTGATATTTCGATTCGCCGCGCACACCAAGTCTTCTAGTCTGCACATTTGGGAAGATGATGCGCACAAGCTTGCCAAAGGAAGCAGGATTCAGAACAGACACCCGTTCTGTTCCGCACTTCTCTGCATAGCAGCAGTACACACGATCACGCCGCACTGAGCCGCTGCTCTTGCGGCAGTTCTCCTTCAGCCTAGACTGTCATGAGCAATTTATTCCTATGCATAGAACTGCAATAGACAAATCTTACCAAATCATCGCAAAGACTTGTTTGACTTTCTCAGCCTTGCCTCCAGCCCCTTCATGCTTCAAGACTTCGGCTGCCATTTGCTTCAGCGAATACCCCTCATATTGCCGGAGCAGTTTGCGCAATTCGTTGTCGTTGGCTAGCGACGAGCTGGACCCCTTCTTTCTCTTCGCGCCGGCCTCGGAGATATCATTATCCTCCAGTACATGCTCAGGCACATGGTTCTCGATTCCACTGTCATACATGGCTGTATATTGGGGCATCGGCACGCCCGCCAACCCATGGCTTGGTAGACCAGAAGGGATGGAGTGGTGTGACATATGGTGACCATGCATTGCATGACTGGGGAATTCTTCTGCCCTGGGCATCACAGCGTGGTGAGCATCCTGCATGGTCGGATCGAGGGACGCTCCGTTCACAGGGTGCGACAACTGTTGGCCAAATCGCATGATGATATCCTCCGGGTTACCGCCGAATACATTGTGACCAGCAGTGGGTTGGGTGGGCAGGAACTGGGAAAAGCCATCGGCAAGCTGTTGGTCTTGGGTCTGCTGGGTCGTGTTGGAGTGGATGCTAGCCGTCGAGCCTCTGGACCGCGGGCGGCGACTGTTTCTGGATACTACGGTTTCGGAGCGTGATCTCATGAGATCAGCCGTCCCGGGGCGACTGTGAGATGCTACTATTTGGGTTGCTTGGGAAGCGGCGCTCGAAGATTGGGAGGCCGCTCGGGCTGCGGTTCCTGCAAGTTAGCCGGCAGTCCAACGTACAGCAGATGGGGAGGGGAGGCAATCAAGGTCTCCAGGTGCGGAGAAGGTCAGATGGAAGCAGACACGTCGCCTGCAGGAGGGAAGGCAGCTTCTTACCCATCTCAGGAGGCATCTCTTTCTCTTTTAGGATCTGCTACGCTGTGCAGTGTCTGTCTGGGTTTCCTTGTTGCTGGGTGAGAGACGATCGGTAACCACGGGCAATAGCGTCTGTTTTGATCCTTCACGGAGCCACCCTCGACCGCACGAGGTCCACACCGCAAGAAGGACAGCAAAAACGTGAACCAACGGAGCTAGAAGTTGATGAGTTGTCGTCAAGGCATCAAGAGGTGTTGTCGAGCTGAAACAGGCTGGCTATGGAAGGCTCATAGCGGCAGTGTCCAGAAGGTCGAAGTGTGGTGTTCGAAGGAGGATAAACAGAGAAATTGGTTCCTCAAGCAACGACCGGGCGCTTGTTTGGGTCACGCATCACGTGGTGCTTACCTAATTGGCATTCCTCGTCACAAACAAACAGTAACTACAAGTATGTACTGCCGACCTCCTCGTGTTCCGCAAATATATATATGGGTACCTTTATAGTAAAACTACGTACTGATCCTTAAAAACAGGGATATTCTACATTCTTATCTCTATAATAGCCATTATTATACCCTTTTGCTGGCGACATCTTCTAATTGACCGACCTGTGTTCATATAACAAAGCCATCGGTCAGTCACATCAGCCGCGTTAGATTATCTAAGCTGAGGCTCGTGACTTCACCGGCCACGTCTAGTCTAGTCTAAACACCAAACAACAGAACTTCTTGCTTTATACTTCCATCTCCACCCAAATGATACTATCTCAACCACCATGTCAAACCTTTCCCACTCACCTATATGTGAATCTAAAAAGCTACGAGGAAGTAATAGCGAGATAGCCGATGAAACTGATCAATTCTTCTATAAATCTAACTGGTATCGCTTGCAAAACAGTGGTATCGCCAAATGCCGCTAAAATAAAACCCATATCAAGAAAGTGTGGGGAAGAATCAAACATTTACTTCACCAGTCCCACTTCACCTTTTTTTTTTCAAGTCCTTTCTCTCCCTAGTTGCCGTTGGCTTTGGCCTTGAGTCTCCTTTCGCGGGCATGTCGCCAGCCAGGACCCCATCGATCTTCGACGTACAGCAACGGAGTCATCACGAGGGTGATGCCGGCAAGCAAGAGGAAAGTATAATCCGGCTTCAAGGCGTCCAGGATAGGTTGCACGATAGCCACACCGCCAGCTCCAAGCAGGCACCGCATCAGATTGTTCACTGCTGTCGCACTGGCGCTAGCACCTGGGTAAAGATCGATGACCAGGGCGCTGTTGATGGTGAAGAGTCCTGTTGAGCAGAACGCAATGAAGTACTGCAGAATGATAGGCACCGCCAGATGTGTCCGCAAAGACACGCCGTACAAAGCAACTGTCACGATGAAGATCGCAATCACCCACCAGGTATTGCGCATCCGGGCGACCTCAATGGGGAAGTCGGGGTGTGATTTCAGATTGACACGTGTGCCTGCCGGATAACCGTGTTTCTCACAATATTCGCGTTCGGTAAGACGGTGGTTGTAATCCATAAGGTAGCCGACCAGATAAGAGCCAGACATGCATCCAAAGCCTACCAGTGCATGAGCGATCATTCAGGCCAAGTGTCGGAGGGGATCATAAAACTTACCATTGCCTAGGAAAGTGAGTCCAATATCCAGGGATGACAGGCCGTACACTTCGCTGAAGAGGTCGGTGGTACTGGATGTCACCATACTCCACACTGTGTACACGATACTTCCAAAGAACAGGGTGATGAAAACGTCCTTTTCGACGAGGAATGTCAAAGGAGCGAAAACAGACTTCCAGCTGGTTTTGGTCTTCTTCGCTTCCGGTTGCGCTCCCTCGACAACCCCCGTCTGGCCGGTGATCGTGTAGATGAAGGGCTTATGAATGCCATTGAGCTTCACAGTACCATTTCCAGCAATTGGCCTCAATGTCTCCGGAAGAAGCACCAGAATGGACAGGAGACTCACGCCCCCAGCGATCGTGAGGAACCAAAAGATAGATCGATATCCGAGATACTGGGTGAAAATGCCGCCGAAAACCGGCCCGATTCCCTGTCCAAGCATGCGAACTTGGTTCCGTCAGCTTAACCATCCAGCAGGCAAAGAGATGTTTTCTTACCTCCACCGAAGATACCCACCAAGCTACCTCTTTCTTCCGAGTTTGTGATATCACCAATCACTCCAGCTCCTGAGCTTGGTTAGCAAGATGCTATGCTAGGCTGTGAGATCGCTCTTACCGATTGAGATGGTGGCCGCGCTACCAGCAGCCTGCAAGGCTCGGAAGGCCATGAGCTCACCATATTTCTTGGATTCGGCCAGAGCAATATTGGCTACGAGGTAAACAATGAATGTTCCAATAAAGACAGGCCGTCTACCTGTGGCGTCTGACATGGAACCCCAGAAGCTGGGAGCGAGGCCTTGGACGATCATGTACACCGTGATGGTGAGTGTTGCGAGCGACATGCTGATGTTGAGGGACTATCATGGTACAGTCAACATGTCGGGTCCAGGAAGGTATGGAGCCGAAGTACTTACTTTCGAGACATCGTCCAGGGCAGGGAAGTAAATGTTCGACGAAAGCGGAGAAAATATGGCGGCGAGGGAGACGATGCAAACCATTTGCAGCTTGCGAGACCGTGTGAAGATATGATGCGGTGGCTTCTCGGATGACTGAGCCTCGAGGGTCGAAGGCTCCGGAGAGAGGGATCCCTTATCGGAGTCACTGTCTCTAGGGGTGACCTGTGGTACGGGGACCTTTTCAAGGTCTGATCTTGATGAAGACGTGGTTGAAGACATGATTGTGGATATGACTCGGGGGCCAGCCTCGAAGCACGTTGGCAATCTGTGAACCACCTTGGAGAGGAATATCAAAGCTGAGATTGCAAGACCAGAAGTGCGAGGCCAATGCACTTTATGTTCCGGAGTTTTATAATTGATCTGGCACTGGGCCAAAACATCTTCGAAAACTCGATTAAAAAGCAGATGCAGGATTGCTCCACTGCGGAGCAACTTGGACAGACGGGGGGCTATCCATCATCAATGACCTTCCCAAAGCGGGCAAATGTGGGTGGCAAGAGCCGGTGTTATCGCCAAGGTATGAACGGAGGCGTGGGTTTAGGAGTTTCTCTTCGGCCGGTCTTACTTGGCGACCAGTAGTCTAGGTCACATCCGAGAGAGTCCAAGCCGTCGGGCAGCCGACGAAGAAAGAGGAAAAAAAATAAAATTGAAAGGACAAAAGGGCGGAGCTACCAAGATCTGCATACATGACGTGGGCCCGGCGTGGTGATGAAATTCCAGAACAAGCATGCTTTCCAGGCCATCCTGGACTACGACTAGCGCCTGCACCTCAAGAGCTGACGGATTTAGTCAACTTAGCATACAGATTTCCAGCGAATGGTGTGTTTGAAGGACCGGGCACGCCTGTCATGCGCAAGGGTCTAGATGGAAGCGGAGCCCGTGATAAGGGACCTGAGCAGGCTATTCAGTGGCGCCGTGGCGGAGCGTTGGGCTACATGGTATGGAGTAGATAGGCCGTCGACTCTTCTCAGCCAACATCTCCCACATGTGTTGACGGAGAAGGCTGTCTCCCACGCAGAAGCTAAGCTGTGATCAACACGGAGAGGCCCGATGCAACGCGAGACGGCAAGGCAGGTCATCAATTGACGACTCAGGGCGCCAGGGTCCCTATCCCCCCTCTTCAGGAGGAGTAGTTGTAGGAAACAGGGAGCACGCACGCGCACCAGTATGAGCAATCTGAGATCAGCCTGATTGGCGAACTGCTCAGGTGTAGTGGGTTACTATGGATCTCGGGGATCTACATCAGGCCCATACGCACTAAGAAGGGGGGTGTGGGAGGATGATTGCATGGGAGGCGAGGACCAAAAAAATCGAGTGCGACGCCCAGACAACGAAATTTCTCGGGATGGATCCTTGACAAGCTGGCCAGCCTCGCTGGGCTGGTTCCACCGTGGCTGCAGATTGCGGAATTGGGGGTGGAGTGAAGCTATACCAAGACATCCTGAGAGAGCTCCCACGGGAGTCGCAAACCACAACTCCACAGGTAAGGTGCACCTGATTGGGGTCAGTGCGGGAGGTCTACGTAACAGTTGGTAAGCTTAAATATGAGACAAGTAGAAATTGCCATCAGGGGAGGTGGATAGGGAGAAAAGGAGTAGCTGCGCAAACAGGATCACAGTGGAAGTGAAGCAAAGGAAATACAAGATGGGGGGATTTCAACAGGGAGGGATGCATAATAATAGAAAGTGATGACGAAGATGCCGTGAGGATTTGAGGCACCAATGCATGTAAATCACCAAAACGGATAGTGTAGGGAGGTGTATGGAGTGTCGGAACACGCAGAGCAAGAGGGTCTGAGACTGATTGATCGCAATAGTGTGGTTGACGACGTAGATCGCGGATGGAGCAAGATGAGACCTTGAACTGGATCTCCACCAACTTTCTCCTCTTCCTCCGTGGGACCTCCGTTCTACTATCTACTACTAACAGTACTAACTGTCGACAGGAATAACTGTGCTGAAGGGCTAACCTCACTAGTAGCTGTTCATCAGCCCCCCGAAAATCAAATTCGATAGATAATAATAACGACAGCGGAACAATTTGCTCTGCCATCATGCTAACTATGTAACCGAACGACGACTACATATTTCACCGAATATTCTCCTCTCCCTTTCATCTCCTAAGCGACAACAATTATAACTTATGCCAAGGATCACAAAACAAAACATAAAAAAAAGGAATCTTTTGCCAAGAGCATACCCTAATTCTTCCTTGATAAGAAGGTTAAATACTACTACTAAATCAGCACTAAAACTACCCATTCCTTCCTTCCATCCTCACTGCGTCGTCCTGCACTAGCGCCGGAACCGCGAACTAAACAAGCAAATCAGGGGTCTCAAGCACACCATAACGTCCCTTTTTCCTCTCTTTTTGGCCCCCCTCTCTCTTTTTTCTCTTTGATGATCATCGTAAACCGAGTGATCCGGCAGTAGTGAGCGGATATCATAATAAAACAAAAATGATCTTATTTTTTTCAAATCATTATTCATCTTATTCTTATTACTATCATTTGGGCATCACTATCGTGACCACTGTTCGTACCCTATTATATAACTAAACTACTTCAAGGCAAACCACAAAGGATCAATATCTATCCATCCTACAATCTAACTAACTACTATGATTATAGACTAGTGGGTGGCTCAGCAGAGATATTTCTTCAACTAGTAACAGTAGCTTCTTAAAAGTGATTTATTTATCTACTTCCGGCTCACACTCAGACCTCCCACCCCCCTCCCGAATCACCAATTCCGACTGGTTAAAGTTCCCTGCGAAAGTGGAGGCGATGATCTACGCCGGCGGCCGCCACTTGAGACGGGCGGTCAATCGGGAGGCGTCCACTGTTTATCGAGTCTAGTTTGTTTGGGCTGGTTCTGTCGTCTTGTTTCTTTCTTGGCGGTGGTTCGGATGGCTGATGTTTGAGGAGGTGTGTGTTGTGTTGTGTTGATTTGTGTTGATTTGTGTTGGATTATGTGTTGTTGTGTTGAGACGGTGAGGATATTAATTCTTCAACAACCCTCGTAGAATTTATGATTCATGCAGTGAGTATCGACTATTCTTCGTATTCAATGCCACCACCATTACTGTGGAGAGTACCTTCTGGACCGCCATCGGGATCTAGACAGGAGCCGACTGAAGAAAAATTAAATATAATAAAATAAATAAAATAAAACCATAATCATAATTCAATTAAATAAATAAATAAATAAAAATGGGATAGACTAGGACTAACTAGGTTATTGTTTTCACGGCGCGGCCCTTGTTCAACCAACTCAATTCGATCCGGTATCTTCCGTTCTTTGCCTTGCCTAGAAACTCTACATCTAGTAGTTGTGTAGAATACTTGCGGTTAATCCGTCATTATGCACTTACATATTTAGTACATGTCAGGACCTGCAGATAAAAGAAAAAGAAATGAGCAGAAGGGAAGAAGCAAATTTGAATATTTATTCATTACTTTTGTGCCTTTGTCAACTTACTCATTCTCCTTTAGCGAGGTTCAACTAACTAACTAGCTAGCTACTAACTTCTTACTGTAATCAATGATCCCGCTCCCACCCTCCGTTTGTGGCCAAACCTGAGAACCAGTCAGATTGCACAGCCCGGGCGAAGTATGTATGCATGCATGCCTCGCTGCATGCTTACACGACCGGTTCTGCCACACAGTTTAGATACCGACCTGTTGTGTCACTATCTTTCGGTTCTGACACGACAAGACTCTTGGCCTAAGGCCAAGAAAAGCCCAGGAGTAAGAAAAGCCCAAGAAGAACAACTAAAAACTAGAATTGGTCGGGATTGTATGCAGCCAAGACAGCACGAGAGAATACAAAGTAGAAAATCTTGCAGGGCCTTGATCTTGTCGTTGGTGTTATTGTTGTTGTTCTCGACCTGTCTATCTATCTGTCTGTCCGTCTACCATACTGCAGTACGTATCAATTGTTGGTTAGGCTGCAATCGGTGATTGTCATGACATTCTTGCGCGCATCTGCTAAGTTAGTAGGATGTCGTCACATCAATATCACTATACCCTAGTCATCACAACCACTAGCTAGATAACTATCTAGTATACGTCTACAGTAGCAGCATGACAGACCTAACCTAGCACTACTACTATCAACAAATTCAAGAAATAATATACATATATGCACTTTATCTATTTTTAATACCCGCAAGGTTTGCGCAAGTACAACACTGTCATCGTCATTCTTATCTTCAAGCTCGAGCACCCAACAGCCCCGACAGATCAGATCAATTAACATACTTGGTATAGCGTATATGTATTCTTCACATGGGACCTGGCAGACACATATACCTTTCTCCTCTTTCCCACAAGCTCTCTCTCTCTCTCTCTGCCTATCATTTGCAAAGTACTTGCTTGACGTGCCGATATCTGAGACATCCCCATCCATCCATCATCCTTCCAAACTTCCATATGCCCGTTTGTAACCATTCACATAACAATGATAAAGATAGAGACACATACCCTAAACACACAGACACACACACACACAAATAAATAAATATACATAATACGCAGATAGATAGATAGATAGACAACCACCCCTGCTAGTAACTCTTCACTAATCCTGCACCTATATGTCTTGGCTGCATCCCGAGAGGAGGGGCAATTAATTTCTTCCCTTTTTGCTTGTCCCGTTTCCCTCCCCCTCCCCTCTTCGCTTTTCTTCTGTTCGCTTCGCTTCCAAGTACGCAATAAAACGCACGGGAAAATAATCCCTGTCTGTCTTGCCGATGCCGACAAAAAGGAATTATCTATTTATCTATTTAGTCTACCTCGGTAAGTTGCTCGGTATGGTGTTTTCCCCGTCGGAAGGAGGGGGTTTGTGCACAGTAGATGCTTTCTTTTCTCTCTCTCTCTCCAACTATAGAATAAGAAGTGGGAGTGGTGTTACACAGACGACTTATCTATTTAGACTGTCAAGTCTATCAATCTATACTTATTTCTATGCTTTATGTTAACTTTCAATAGGATGGGGATATTTCTTCTGCTCATATACTAGTATAAGTATATCTATTGAAGTTAAGTAGTAAATGCACCAGTATCTGTCACTCTCCACCCGGCACCTCCTCTTCAAACCCATCACAAGCCACAAACTAAACAACAATCCAACCACCTCAATCACTAAAATCCAGGGTATTCCCCCCACAACCCGAGACCCAAGAGAAATACGACATCGGGAAGCCGACGGACAGACCGGCATGCAGACAGAGCAGACACACGGGACAGGGGATGTTTCAGCTGCTAGCTGTTTAGTTAACAGATTGGGCCGCAAAGAACAATAAGCCAAGAAAGTAGCTAAGCCATCGATATTAATTGAGAGACATTAGTATCCCGGGATATGACCCCCAAGACGTGGCTAACTAAAAAGTACTACGTACACAAGTAAAAAGTAGCGTAGCTAGTACGATAGTCTAGACCAGGACCCCAACCAAGCATGCACGATTGCATAATCCCAATAAACAGCAGACGCGATAACAACAGAGAAACATGATTGATTGGCCTTACAAGGTCGATGGGGGTAGATGATGTGCACAGCCTTGCTCTCTAGGTACTCACATCACTAGCTGAAGTATATTCTTGTTGTTGTGCGCTGAATAATGATTGATGATGGAAGTGATTGTCTGTCCCCGGCTGCTTGAAGCGGCAAGTATCATCAATCCATCGGATAACTCCTGCTTCTTGTTTGCTGGTCCCGGCCCGGTGCCAAGCCCCAGCATTCCCGAAACATGGGCTATCTGCTCGGCCACACTGGCTGGGAGGATTCCGGGTATGTCCGATATTCCGAGTCTTTTTGGTTTAGTTGGTCTGTAAGTATGTGTCTGTGTGTGCGTGCTTGGTGAGAAGGTTTTCAAGGTGTGTCTTCAGTCATCCAGTCTAGTCCAGTCTAGTCTTCAGGCAACCATCCTTCAGCGACTAGGCTTCTACTTAGGCGGGCTTGCACGTTGGCAACTCCATTTTATTGAGTTTGGACCCTGCCATGCTGGGTAGTACCAGATTCATCTCTTTAATCTACTTGCAGGATTTCTGCTACGGAGTCCGCAGGTTGCAATAACTACTGTGTAGATCATGACTCCTACTAGACATCAAAGCAAAGCAAGAAAGAAAACTTCAGACGAAATTTACACAAGTGAACCTAATTACTTCCTTGCATCTCTAAACATAGGAGATATATCGACGAGAAAAAAAGATGAGAAAAATGAGACCAGATATAAGAGACAAAAAGTACAGTGTGGCCGCCATGGCTCGGACATAGAAAGGGAGTCGTCTAATAATAGAGGGATGGAGGGGAGGGGTAGAGTCAAAACTCCCGCCCATACTGGGCGAATAACTCTGGTGAGTTCAACCCAGGAACCGGCAGGGTTCAAAGAAATGTCTCCGCCTGCGTGCAGATACTGTTATCATTTCGTCTAGACCAGGTCCCTCTTGACGAATTCGTTCAGGAGGGCCTTGCCCAGGGAAGCGGGGCTGCGCTCGACAACAACACCAGCCGCCTCGAGAGCGGCGATCTTAGAGTCAGCGCCACCCTTGCCGCCGCTGACGATGGCTCCGGCGTGACCCATACGGCGGCCCGGGGGAGCGCTAATGCCGGCGATGAAACCAACGGCGGGCTTGTTGTACTTGTTGTTGGCCTTGAGGAACTCGGCAGCATCCTCCTCGGCGCTACCACCGATCTCACCAATCATGATGATACCGTCGGTCTCCTCGTCCTCGAGGAAGATCTTCAGGCAGTCGATGAAGTTGGTGCCGGAGAAGGGGTCACCACCGATACCGACGACCAGGGACTGACCAAGACCAGCCTGGGTGGTCTGGTTGACGGCCTCGTAGGTCAGGGTACCGGACCGAGACACAATACCGATACGTCCACGCTTGTGAATGAATCCAGGCATGATACCAATCTTGCATTGGCCCTACACATCGCAAATTTCACCATTAATATCTTGACCCCTGTCCAAAAGGATCGCCTAGTGGTTTTTGGATGCGACTTACAGGAGCGATGATACCAGGGCAGTTAGGACCCACCAGACGGGTCTTGTTCTGCGTCTTCAGGATATCGGTGATACGAACCATGTCTGGTTGATTGTTGGTCAGTCCTACACCCAACATGCAGAGATCGTCGACGCTAAGTCATGGCTAATAAACATACCGTGCTGAGGGATACCCTCGGTGATACTATCCCGGTTGTTAGCACATGCTGGGTTCTTCTATCGTCATTGAGAAGGAGTCGCCTACCAGACAGCCAGAGGAATTTCGGCCTCGATGGCCTCCTCGATACCCTTAGCGGCCAAGGGGGGGCTAGAGTCATGGAATTAGCAAACGATCCTTCTTTCCTCGATTAAGACACCGGATGCATACGGGACGAAGAGAGCAGTAGCGGTAGCTCCAGTCTCCTTAACGGCCTCGCTCACGTTCGCGAAGACGGGACGGTCAAGGTGCATCGAGCCGGCCTTCTTCGGGTTGGTTCCACCAACGACCTTGGTGCCTAGCAGTTGTGAGTTTCCCATGTGAAACCGCCGGAGACACCTATCTAATTGGTGCAGACGTAGGAAGAGATAATACCATAGGCGATAGCTTGCTCAGCGTGGAAACTGCGGAAAGACGAAAAATGGCAACGTCAGCATGTCATGCATGATAAACAGCGTTCCCTGCGGATCGGGCAAAAAAGACGTACGTTCCCTGCTTTCCAGTGAAACCCTGGAAGATAACCTTGGTGTCTCCGTTAATGCGAAGGTTGTTCACAGTCTCAGCGTAAGCCGGGCTGGCCGAGGCAGAGTATGCCCGGCGCTGCGTGGCAGCAGCATTGCGAAGGGCAGCGACGGTGTTACGGCGGACGGCCTGCATGGTTGTTTGAGGGAAAGGAAGAAACCCGGTAAGGGGAGATCGGAAAAGAGGGGAGAGGTGTGAAAGTGAAGCACTACGAAGGTGCAAGAGGGTTCGTGGTTGAAGATAGAGAAGAGAGAAGAGAGTAGCCGTTCAAACGCGCCGGACAGATTCGCTTTGGGGAATTTCGGGACAAAGCTTTAAGCGGATCCGAGTTGTCACGGGCGGTCGGTTGCCTCCCTCGGCCTCGCTGCTCTTTTTTTCCTGTTGCCGTTGTGCTGTTCCGCCGCATCTCCCCCACATTAACTTAGCTCTACGCTTCTTTCTTCGGTAGTGGCTATCCAAGATCCAGATCTAGACTTTGTATCTTTACTGCTTTGGCTGGTTGATTGATTTTCCTGCTTGTCTTTCCTTTTTCCCGCCCCGTCGCGCAGTTCGCGTGGTGTGCCATTTCACCTCCTTCAAGATGGCGACCGCTACCATGACTATGCCGCCACCCCCCAAGGCTAAGAAAAATGCCAAACTTCCCCCGGAGAATGAACGTTTCATGAGAGCTTGCTCCGATATTGCGAATGCCCTGATCCAAGAATATGAAGCGCAACGCGATCCCAAGAAACCCAAGAGAGATATCAACCTCAACAAACTGCGGGGTCAAGTCGCCAAAAAGCATGCCCTGGCTACACAACCCCCATTGACGGCCATTATCGCGGCCGTCCCTGAGCACTACAAGAAATACATCCTTCCCAAGTTGATTGCGAAGCCCATCAGTATGTCTGCGCCTTGTCTCCCTGCGCGTAACCTTGCTAACACACTCTGCCAGGAACCTCGTCCGGTATCGCGGTTGTCGCGGTCATGAGCAAACCCCATCGTTGTCCCCATATTGCCTACACCGGAAACATCTGCGTCTACTGCCCTGGTGGCCCTGATTCCGACTTTGAGTACTCTACACAGTCCTATACCGGATACGAGCCGACCTCGATGCGTGCGATCCGCGCCCGGTACGATCCGTTTGAGCAGGCCCGAGGACGTGTGGACCAGATCAAGTCTTTGGGTCACAGCGTGGACAAGGTGGAGTACATCATCATGGGTGGAACGTTCATGTCTCTGCCGGAGGACTACCGTGAGTCGTTCGTGGCTCAGCTGCACAACGCGCTCAGTGGATATCAAACGGACAATGTCGACGAAGCGGTACAGGCTGGTGAGATGAGTAACGTGAAGTGCGTGGGTATCACAATCGAAACAAGACCGGACTATTGTCTCGACCAACATTTGAGCAGTATGCTCCGCTACGGATGTACCAGATTGGAGATCGGTGTCCAGAGTCTGTATGAGGATGTCGCCAGAGACACGAACAGAGGTCACACTGTCGCGGCCGTCGCAGAAACATTCAAGCTCGCCAAGGATGCCGGCTTCAAGGTCGTCAGTCATATGATGCCGGATCTGCCCAACGTGGGCATGGAGCGTGACCTGTTCCAATTCCAGGAGTACTTCGAGAACCCGGCTTTCCGAACGGATGGTCTGAAGATCTACCCCACGCTGGTCATCCGTGGAACTGGTCTGTACGAGCTATGGAGGACAGGTCGCTACAAGAACTACACGCCAAACGCCCTGATCGACCTGGTCGCCCGCATCCTCGCTCTGGTGCCCCCGTGGACGCGTATCTACCGAGTCCAGCGTGATATCCCCATGCCCCTGGTGACCTCGGGAGTTGAGAACGGCAACTTGCGCGAACTGGCCTTGGCACGCATGAAGGACTTCGGAACTACTTGCCGCGACGTACGGACCCGTGAAGTCGGTATCAACGAAGTCAAGAACAAGATTCGCCCATCCCAAGTCGAACTGATCCGCCGTGACTACACAGCAAACGGAGGCTGGGAGACATTCCTCGCCTACGAGGACCCCAAGCAAGATATTCTGATCGGTCTGCTGCGTCTGCGCAAGTGCAGCCCAACCCACACCTTCCGGCCCGAGTTTACCGGTCAGCAGACCAGTATCGTGCGCGAGCTGCACGTGTACGGATCCGCCGTTCCTCTCCACGGACGTGACCCGCGCAAGTTCCAGCACCGCGGATTCGGAACCCTGCTCATGGAAGAGGCAGAGCGGATTGCCCGCGAGGAGCACGGCAGCACGAAGATCAGTGTTATCTCTGGTGTCGGTGTGCGCAGCTACTACGCTCGTCTGGGATACACTCTCGACGGACCGTACATGTCCAAGATGCTCGACCCGATTGAAGACGAGGAGTTTTAAGCGACTGTCAACAGACAAAACTACTTATGACTGTGAATGATGCGCATTGTTGCAGCGCAACAACAACAAAATTCACTCGAAACACAAAAGTCTTCTTTCTATCTTCCGTTCTCTCAATCATCTGGTTATCTATCTGCATGCGGCGTTGCACGGGGTTGGTTCTCCATTTATGCTGTTATTCAGGGGAGCAGTAGCGAAATCGGTATATACCAAAAATGGGCGGGATTAGAGAACCTTGCATTGTACATATGGCGCATGAGCCGATTTGCTTGCCTACTACTACTACTACTACTACTATCTTTATGAGGATGAATGATACATGTCACATGTGTTTCTGCACTTTGAGCCTATCTGTTACAGATGGCACTTGATAGTACTACTCGAAACGAACTGGACAGTAGAATACGCTGATGGATGAAGGACGATGGATTGATTGTAACTGCGAACACACACAAGTTCTATTCGAACAAAGACTATATACATATACAACCCGCAAATACACCAGAAAAGTACCGTGCAAGAAAAAAAATCAATCGATCCAAACATCACATCACATCAAAACTGAAAGCTAATAATAATCAATCGATCAATAATCCAATGCCTTTCCGGCTTTATGATAGACAAGCGAGGATGGTGAGTGAGCCTCCCACGATCAAATTGTCATACGTAGCACAGCACACGCAGACAATATGGTCATTCCTTTCCTTTCCCCTCTTTAACTTCCAGAGGAAGTATGCCCTCCTGGAATAGGAGATATGGTACATCTAGCGATGATACATCCGCATCTGCATCCATACCCCTCCTCTTTCTCCAGCAAGACGACGAAGCGACGCAATCCACCCTAAGCCAACCTCGAATTCGCAAAGCAATGTTGTTGAATATCCTTTAACTCAACGATATAGCACCGCCCCTCCGGGCCCTCATGTGCAAGTAAGCCTGGAAAGCGCAGAACACGAAGAAAGCCTATACGATTAATCAATCGGTTAGCAATCCATCGTTTCTCTTCCTCTGTCTTCCTCTTCTTGTCTCGCCCATTCCAATCCAAAAATGTAATAATACGGGGCATCAAACATACAATATACACCAACACGGCCGTGAAAATCGAAGCTGCGACCGCGGCGCCATCTTCAGGTTCGCCTTCGGAGCCAGTGAAACCGGGGTGTTCGCTCTGTTCCATGACTCTTTATCAGATTACTGCTTCTTTTGGGCGATAGAGGAAATTTGATACGGTATAAAACGCACCTTGTATAGCGATCCCAAAACGGAGAGGATAACGATGGCGAAGACGGAGATGACCACGCTATTCAATGTCCTTGTATTAGCTAGCTAGTTCTGGAGTTGCGCTGTATTGATATGATGCGGACGTACCAGGACCATGCGTTTAGGGCTGAGACGACAGGCTTCATCTTGAAAGGTATGATATGGTTGGAGCAACCTCGGGGGTGAGAGAGGGAGGAAGAGTCGGGAGTGGCTGGCTGGCGCGGCTCGGGTGGTTGACGATGATACGCTTTCCGATGAGATAATGGAACGTGCGGCCTAGTGATGGGATGTATCGGTTGCTGACACGGATAAAGGAATGATGGAACTTGCAGTTTGCCTGTCCAGGCTGCCGTTGAGAGGGGGGATGAGGCCGTTGATGTCGTTGGATGATGTCGAGGATCGCAGGTGCCGGTGGAGACCTCCGGTGTGTTGGCGCTAAGCTGTTTTGGGGCGGGCGGTTGTGTGTCGAGACTTGTTGTCCGCGTCATGGTGTTGCACTCGATGGTTATACTTTGTCCCGTCAGGGGAGTGAGTCTTTCAGTGATTTACATGAAGGAGGTGTTTATTCATATCGTGTGCATGTGTTTTCCTTTTTTTTTTTTTTTTTTATTTTTCGTTCTTTTTTCTTTTTAACACTTTAGTTTCATTCATGTCCTCAGTATTGACTGGAATATATATACATCATCTGCCATGTCTCATGTCTAAAATTTTGACCACGATTTCGTTCAGTTACTCAACAACCACACCCTAGTGCGCCTTGTTCCATTCTATACACTCATCAAACGTTACCCCGGAACCACCAAAGATATCCAACGCACTTCCAATCGTCAAATCTACCTTCCCTTGGCTGCTGACGTGAACCTTCTCCAGATCCTGAAGATTCCGAGCACCTCCGGCATAGGTGATAGGGATCGTGCACCACTGGGACAGCTTGGACACGAGCTCCTCGTCAACGCCCTGTTGCAGACCCTCGACATCTGCGGCGTGAATGAGGAACTCGGAACAGTAGGGCTCCAAGAGTGCAATTGATTCTGCCTCTGTTAGTTGTACTGAGGCAATCATTGACAGCAGAGCAAGAAAGAGGATGTGTAGTAAAAACAGAGCAAGCAAAACCACAACAACAAAGCATCAATTTCAATTCCAGAATTGCTTACCTTGAGTGATCTCCATCTCAGTAATCGTCTGCCAGCGATTCATAGCCACAAACCACGTATTACCCTTCTTCCTGCAGCTCAGATCCAAGACCAGCTTAGACTTATCACCATCCAGCGCAGCAAGAACGGACTGTAGCCGCTCAAGGGAGAATTTGCCCTCCGGGAAGAGGAACGATGTGATGATAACCTGCAATTGCAACATCAGCCATCATACTGCGCAACAACCACACAACCACCAAGCCAAAGCAATACCCAACAACCCAACCCCCGTCCGTCCCCCATCCATCCATACACACCAACAGAATAAAACCTAGAAGAAACAACTAACCTTCTCAGCTCCCATGTCAATCCAATACTTCGCATTCTTATCCGTAATCCCCCCCGCAACCTGCAACCCAGCAGGCCAAGTCCTCAACGCCTCCTTAGCAGCCTCATCGTTCCCGGGCCCAAGCATAACAACATGCCCGCCCCTCAAATCATTCTTCCTGTACAATTCTGCATAGTGGCTGGCCGGCAACTTCGACACATAATTCGTCTTCAGGTCCGCTGCAACACTGCTCAACGTCCCGCCCACTATCTGCTTCACCTGGCCGGAGTGTAGATCAATGCAGGGACGAAATTTGGTCATTTTTATGAGATTCTCCACCACAATGCTTGCTCAATTGATTTCGTATGTCTGATTAGTACTGATGTGAATGAATGAACTCCATCCATTCCCCCCGCGGTTTTGTGGAAATCCGACGAGGGGTTGCGCGGGTTATCTTATCTACACGTGATATAAATCATGGTTTGGAGGTAGATGGGTTACATAAGCGGCTGGATTACGGCAAAGTCGTCACTTATCGCGCGCATTATTTTTTTCCGCCGGGACGGTGGTCGGTCGTTCAGCATTTAATTGTTTGTTTTACCAGCAGCAGCACAAGGAATTGAAAATGGTTGGAAAGCGCAAGAGAGACGCTGCTGTTGTCTCCAGGACTACGAAGGTGGATGAGGAGGAGGAGAGGACGACGTCACAGACTGCAACGACTGATGCGTCTGCTGCGGACGTTTTTCGCAAATTCTTTGAAGCGCAGTTTCAACCGTTGGAGGTGCCTGGGGGCCAGGTGACTCGCAATGATGAGTCGGATGAGGAAGAGAGTGAGGACGAGGACTTTGAGGAGGCATCTGAATCGGGCTCTGATTGGGATGGCCTTTCCGGAGAGGAAGATGAGGCTCCGGTTGAGGTAGTTGAGCATCGTGATATCAAGAGTCAGGATTTAATGGACAAAAAGGCGCGCAAGGCGTTCATGGTACGTCTACGAGATTTGCTTGTGCTGTCGTGGCTTCTTTACTAATTCGCCTTTACTAGACCTCGAAACCGCCCTCATATTCCGAAGAGCCGAAGCCTGCGAAAAAGAAGGCCAAGAAGGAAAAGAGTGATGACGACGAGGAGGATGCCATGGATGCGGATAATCTGAAGAATAATCTCGCCTTGCAACGGCTTCTGAAGGAGTCCCACCTGCTCGAGTCAGCAAACGAACTTGCGCCAACCGGTAAAAACCGAATCAAGGCTCTTGATCTGAGAATGCAGGAACTGGGGGCAAAGGCGTCTCTGTATAAGCAGAAAATGCCCACAGCGCACAGAAGAGGTATCAAGGAGAAGGCGGACATGAAGGAAGATAGGCGTCGACGTGAAGCCAAGGAGAACGGTATTATTCTCGAGAAGCCCGCACCCAAATCAAATCCAGCCAGCACCAAGCGTCGGGAGCGCGGTGTCGGAGGTGCTTCTATCGGAAAATTTGCGGGTGGTGCTTTGAACTTGAGCAAGCGTGACGTGGCCGCCATTCAAGGCCCGCGCCGCACGACAAAGGGCAAGGGCAGAGGCAGAGGACGTCGTTAGACCTGCCTGAGAGACATGAATGGCAGTACTAGCCACGCCTGACACCACTCCCAGTCAGATCCTTTCATGTCCCGTGCGCGCCCGGAGCGCGGCGCCCTGATTCGACATGGGTTGGTTGTCGACGTATCCTAGCCCCAGTAATTCTTACCGGAAGAGGGGTTGTAGTCTAGTTTCTTTACATGAGGAACTCTCTATCAATCCTTCGCCCTCCTTCTGTCCTTCGGCTGTTTCACTAACACGCCCCGACCCCTTTGTGAAGGTTGACCGCGACCAGAGATGTTGTGATAGGTCGGGAACGAGTCCTCGATGTGCGTCAAGAAAGGGGAGAGCAGAACGATGCGCCCGCTCGTAATGAGGACGTCGAGATGGCCCTGGCGCTCATGCTGGCTGCAGCCTTGATTCAATGCTGAAACTTCTGATTTGCCCACTCAAACCTTATTCTCCGAAACGCCTCAAGACCAGCCTGCAAAGCACGTTCCAATCGCACTAAACTATGCGCGAGACCGAGCACGCTGTTCCGAATACGGTGATATCCCCGAGTCGAGCTAAGGTTTGAGGACGAGACCCCCATTTCTGAGACAACCTATGGTCTTAGGATGTTTGAGAAGGTCGACCGACATGAGAATACCCCAGAGGTTGGCCAGTTTTAGCCGCTAAGTGCCGTCTATAAACAGCTGAAGCACGAGTCATCCTAGATAGATAGATCCTGGAAAGCGTCTAGTCTCTTATCGAGCAAAAAATAGAACGTCTCCATCTCGTATAGATATACGGGGTGAAAGAGTGTCGCATGAACCGACTGTGAACAAGACTTTTAGTACTTGTTAGCTTGATTCCCTAGTGAACTACTATCACGCCCACGTCAGTTCTTTCCAGTATAGCACTCACCAAATGTTGAGTCGTCAAATTCTAGCTTATCATCTGATCAGTCACACTCCTTTTTTTCCCCCCCCATCTCACGCTCGGCCTCGGCTTAAGCCAGCCTAGTAAGGACTAGTAGTTAGCCAGTCTGATATGATTGAGTTTGCCAGTTCTGCGGCTACAAGGCACACCGATCTGCTACTAGCGGATAAACGTCCCACCTTCAGGCAGTTCCTCTGTCTACTATGTATTTAGTTCCAGTGTACCGGGGTACCTGCATGAATAATCCGATAATAATAGGTTAGTGCAAAAGCGGTTCCGTGGTTCCAATTCTCTAGTTCAGGTACCGCTGCCGTGAAGGGGAATGGAGAAGCCGGGAAAGAAGAAAAATAAAAATTGATGCGAATTGCTAAGCGTCAATATTAGTGACCCTTATTGCCATGCATCCATCCGGTTTCGTTAGTCATCTCCCACTAAAATCTGCATGCTCGTGCCGTTGCACGAACCACAATCCATTAGGCGGGACAGGGAGACATCTTCGTCGTTTCAGATTCTGCACGTAACCCTTCCGAGCAGCGTACTTTAACACTTACACCGGAGTCGCTTGGAAATGTCGCTTAGTACGAGTCAGAAGTCCTGAGTCGTGACTCGTGGATACAGGGTGGTTGGTGCCTTCTGAAGAGTCTAGACGATGCCATGCCAGCGGACTCTGTAATCCTTCCGACTGCACTTGGCATTTATCATTCCTTAAGCGGAAGTCTGCCGAATCCCGTATGAAGCTAGAATGGTGTGTATAGCGTGTCGTTGTTGATGACATGATGCAGGTTTGGACTATCAATGTCTAGTGACAGAAATTGCCGCTATATGCTCCTTCATGCAGGAACGTGAAAAAGAATGCGTAACCCCCGCTTTTAGTGCTAATTTATCTTCTTGGCAGCTTGACAATGCGCTAGCTGGTGTGATTAGACCCATCGATATCTTTTTACTTAGAAGACAGGTATGCTGGAGAAAAGGCACCTGTGGTCCTTAGTATTGAGAAGTCGACAATGCGGAGGATCGAGAGACAAGTGTAAGCTAGCTGATCGATCTACGACCTGGGCAGAAAGTTAGTAGAAAAGAAGTGGATTCGCGGACACGGAATTCCAGCTTTCTCCGTTGGTCGCCATACAGCATATAGGCTAATACCGAAACCCGAGGTTTAAACGGCGAGAGGATAAGGCCGCTGATCATCTCCATTTCGATATATCCGGCCATTCCATTTTGTTGACTGGCGGAGCGAGATTCTCCAGGGAGCCAAAGTTGTTCTTTTGGGTCTCGGGAGGTTTGTTAACATGGTTCGCGGATTTATATCAGTTTGTGGGATAGTCTGACTGAAGTCAACAAGCGACTATTGTGTGTGTGCGCGAAATATTGGGTGAAAGAAGCCGACAAAGACCGGCCTACTAACCAACGAACGTATCGGCAATCCGGAAGAGATAGGTGCACCAGGCTGGGAGGATCAGTATGGAGACGGCGCATTCGCTGCGCATTCCACTAAGGACCTGACAGTTAGTTGTAAACAGAACCCGGATGGACGCGACTCTAAGCTCCCCCGCACGTTCTCGAGTCAGGCTGGGAGGTTTCATCTTGGACACTACTCCAGCTTAGCTTCATCGCTAGATACGAGACACAAGCGATCACCAGAATAGGCAGTAAAGATGTAGAAAGATGGACTTAGCGTTGGTCCGGCCTCTGTTTGATCGCCCTGAGCTGCCCATCTCGTATCCCCGACAGGTAGCAGTGCAGGCCGAGTGCGGCACAGGCTCATACAGTAGGAGATATTGCCCGGGTGGCCCTGGCAGTGACGGATGCCGGAACTTGGAACAGTGCTGGACTTTTCTAGATGGTTTCAGGCCGGACGATCAAACCCAGGCCCATTGCACAGAGAGCGGGCCAAGCCTTCCCTTGCTGGAAATGCGGCCTTTCCTCTTCGCAGATGACAGAATAGGTAAGTCAAAGTAGAAAGGCGCTTTTTCTGAACTAACTTACTACTAACCAACTAACTAACGAGCTAATGCCGGCTTTACCAATTGCGACCTTGTGGTCAGCAAGCCGGCAGAGGCGGCCGTAATTTATGGCCCCATTTGGTCTCCATCAAGAACCCCATGGAATCCAGGCACAATTGCCTATTCCGGCTTGGTTGCCACCCCATTAGGGTCTGGAAGGATTCAACCGTCAGGGGAGAGCTTGAGTTTCCAAGGTGTCCTTAGTAGTACCACTTAACCACTTAGCATCTTCGACGGAGTACTACTGGCACTATTTGCTATGCTAACCTTAGTCTCGCCATTCCACCGACTGTTGCTATTGGAATCGAGCCATCCCGACTCCATCTCAATCCCCATTTCTCCGCCGTTCTTCCACTTCCTTTCGCAACTGCTCCGAAGACTATTGCGAGATATCGCGACAACTTACGTAGTCTGCTCCGAAGAGGCGTCCAGACTAGAGACATGGCTCTGAATAACCCTAAATGTGTATGGGTGCAAGCTATCGGCGCCCCCTCGGGCTGCTCGGTCTCTCGGACTTCTCCCAAATGCAGCAACCAGCCTCCGGCATTTTTGACTGGGTCTTCGGAGAATTTATCATGGTTAGCAAGGGGTCTCTTTCCACCGACCCTGATCGATGACAGTGCTCAGATATCAGCCTGTCTATTTTTGTGTTTTCTTGGTGGTCCCTGACCTCTCCTGACCGGCATGGCATACCCATGATGCAGCCCCCCCTTTTTTTGTTGCCCAGCATACGCAGTCGTTGCAGTCTGCACAGTGCACGGTGACTATCTCTGTAGCTTTCTCTTTCTTTCTCTGTGGACATTCAGAATTCGGCCGAAACTGTGGAGTAGACTACTAACTTACATAAAGATCTTGACGATCGGGCCAATGACCGCCTGACAATTCCGGCACCGCTGCACTAAGTATGCCTCTATGGCCAGCATACCGACTATACTAGCAATCTTTAACCTCCCTGAACGGGCTGAAGTGGAGGAAGTAAAGGGGGCAATCATGGCCTCACCGCACACTTCGGACTGACTTTCGGAAGACACATCCTACCATGGACCACAAGAATTGGGCTCATAAGGCTTGGCGACTAAGCTTCGCCGTTTTCGCATCCATCCTTCGGATTGCGCAGATCACCCCTGATGCTCAACGTCCTGACCGTATGATGGCATGCTCCGGGGATGAACCGGCTAGACCTCATTTTTCGCAACATCGCCTTTTTCTCTCATAGTAACTAGCAAACAATCGATTTCAGATTTGTCATTGTCATCGCGTTGAACAAATGGGTTAGCTCGGGTCACGAAACATGGATTGCGACTTTACCCGCGCTTGTTTCCTATCCTGCTACAATGATTCAGCCTGGTATGTGACTAGGGCGATCATTATGTCATTTCTGACATACCAGTGATAATATCATCAGGCATCTATGAATTCGGACGGCGAGGACGATCCTGATGTTCTGAGAGTTAGGAACATACCCCATAAAGCACGATCCTAATATCGAAGTGCACTATATTGATGCACACGGACCAAACCTTGATGTCTCAAAATTGAGCTCGGGTAATCGGGCCCCTCATACTGTGTGCGATTTAATTTAGATCGTTGCCTGTATCTTGTGGAAGAGTCAGGTGAATGTGATTTAGTCGATCGTGATAATTTGTACTATCCGATATTAATCTTCATTTGGGGGTTATGGTTGGTGGGCCAATGGGCGTAGCGCTTGCCGCCATGATGGTGATTGTGATTGATCACCTTGATCAGTTATATATATCCAAAGACAATCGAAAGGCAGAAAGTACCTAAGTAGGTACCAACTTACGGGATTTACTTTCCCAACTACTACTATCTTAAGTAAAACCCCCCAACCAGCCTTGAGCGGCAAATCTCACCGGTCATGCGTCCCTTGGTGGCAGTGGCGTTTTGGGCTGTAGGCTATTCCTATCTTTGAGCAGCTAAGCCCGCCATGCTTTTGGAACTGTATGTACATGTGTGTAAGCACTGCCTGGCCGAGTGACCTCCACGATACCCTTGATCTTCCCAAACAAAGGGGGCCATATGCAAGCCGAAGGGGCAATTCATATCATACTGTACGACGGCTTCGGTAGACTTCCCTAGAGGCTAGTACCTACTCTGTTTCTACTAGATGAATAATACCAAGGATTGTACATCATTGTGCGCCACGGTCAAAAACTGGTCATCACGTAAGATCAGTCAGTCGGTTTATTTTTGGTGCCATCAGTTACAAGTAGTGGTGTTGCTCTGAAGAGTTTCTACTAGTTAGATACTAACTACTTCGGAAACCCGCATAACAACCCTGCATGTAATTCGCCTGTTGGACAGAAATTGGGTGGCGGTACTGTGCATGCTCGTCCGACAATCAGATGAGCCCATGACAAGTAAGTAATACAACACTGCCATGCCCATGCCATGCCACGCCAGGCAATTATTTGCAGATGATGATAGCATAGCCGCCAGATATCTAACCACACAATCGAAGAATCAGGTTGGAAGCCTTTGTCCTACTGTGTTGCTGGAAGGGTCAACAGAACAATCAGGAAACTAAGGTGATGGATGGATGGATGGGCTATTACTAGCTACCCTACTAGTCTGATAGTCATACTATAACTACAGTAGTTAATATACAGGGAAGGTAAGTGACTGAGTAACTAGGCAAGGGTAAACAAACCTATCTCAGAGAGAGAGAAAGGCACACTACCACGTCTGGAAAGTGGATTTGCTTCTCTGAGTTCAGTTGGGGCCACTGAAAATTGTGGGTTGGAAGGGATAACCCATGCCACCCATTGGCGGAGTCGTAAGCGCTCACCAGAATTCTGAAACAAGGGGCGAATGCTTCAAGATTGTTTCCCGCGCCAGTTTGATCGGGTGTGCAGGCTTGGCGTAGTGGTCTTTTCTTGGTTCCACCCAAGGCGGCAAACCCAGCGAGGCGCCTTGGTTTGTGATTTCATATCCATGCCTTGACCAAGCGGGCAGCATTGCTGGCACAAAAGGGCTAAAAAAAAAGCGAAGGGTGGACTACTGTAGAAGAAGGTTGGTAGCGATGAACTGGGCGGTTAAGCAACCCGCATCTACTGTTTCTTATTCGATGTGACTTCCCTTACCATAGCCGCTGGCTGTGATTTGCAGTGCTAGTGTCAATGGTGGGTTGTGTTTGTGTATGTGTGTAATGCTTGGATAGGCTGGAAACCTGGCAAATGGCCCCCAAGAAGAATGAGGCCCCCAAAAAATCATCGCCTAAGTCAGTGAAGAGGAGGTACATCGCCCGTGCGCGCCTATGTGCATATCTGGTGGTGTACACTACTTACTACACAATACTTACTTACTACACCACAAAAAGAAAACCCTTCTCCTGATTTCCCCTTTTCCAAAGCTTCTGATAGTAATATCGGGATGCCAAGAGATAGAGCTTACTTGCGTTAAGGCTCCCTGGATCCGACTCAAGACAATTTGTCCACAGAGAAAGCAAAATGATATCCTATTTTGGTTGCAATTCCGAATAAATTCCCAACAGTCAGGTCGTCGGATACCCATGACCCATCATGGAGGTGCCTAGGCTACCGGACCATCTCCACTTTTGCATGTTCTGTTTGCCCATTCCTTTCTTCTGTGTAAGGTAACTAAGGTTAGCCACACCTTCCCCACACATAGCAAAAGCCAGTAAATATCGCGCGGCCCATGATGTAAGATATCTTCAGGAAGCGCTCTTCAAATTAACAGTCGCCAAGTCGGAGCAGGTAGGCTACCCCACAGATTCAATGGGATTGGCTTAAAGCTTTGGGGTGTATGATTGCAAGCTGCAGGAGGCAGACAGGGTGTGTAGGATGATTACTTTGTAGCACGTAGTATGTAGTAGAGGCCCTTTCAACTGATGATTTTCTCTTCTCTTTTCTTTTCTTTTCTTTTTTCTTTTCCCCCTTTCAATGTTGGTATGACTGAGCAGAAAATTAACTGACTAGTTAACTACAAGAGAACTTACTCCATACTGATTACTCTTACCACCTTCCAGCAGGTTTCTATGGATAAGTTTAGCAACGATGGAGGTGGACTAACCCAAGAGGGAGGCGGGCCCGGCAACAAAAAATCACTAACGGATGGGATGGACTGGAATCTTTGGAAGTCGGCGGCAGCCCCACTGTCTGGTAAGCTGGTTATCCTCCTGGTACCTGACCGTTTGGATACCTGAATACCTTACCGTTGACCCCACTTTTTGGAGTTGTGAACTTGCTGTTGAGAGTAGCAAATAGCTGGATTATCGGTCCTGGGGGAGGTTACTTCAGGGAGCAGCCCTTTTTACCATACGTGTATAATTCCTGTATCGTGTGATTTGAATACCGGGAGGGCCCTCTCTCTTCTCTCTCTGTCGTCTCTCTCTCGCTCTCTCTCTGGTTTTCTCCTCCTCTTTTTTGCCCTTAGGCTCTCTCAGGCTTTCAGTCCTTTTTTTCCCTCCCCCCCCTCTTTTATTATTATATTATTCATTATTTTATTTTATTATTTTTACTTACTCTCAAATATTCTTTTTCTTTTTTATTTATTTTTTCCCCCCCTTCCCTTCTCCCCTGCCCTGAAGTCGGTCCCTGGCGCCAGTCTCCACTTATATTTTCCTATTCTTTACTCAGTGGGTAAAAAAAAGCCCTACTTTTTCGCCGTGCGCGTATGCCGGAGCCCAACCAACTAAGTAAGTGACTTAGTCAAGCCGCCCAGGAGAAAAGAGAGAGAGAGAGAGAGTACTAGAAGAGAGACTCCAGAAGTGGGCGACTCGATCCGCGGGTCTCGGTCGGCGGCGCTCCCTGAATTACTCCTCCCAGACCCAAAGTCTCCGTCCCTCGACACTGGCCGGTCGTTTAAAATTATTATTGTTCTTTTTCCCGATTTTATTATTTATTGTTAGATTATTATTGTATCGATTGGCATTATTATTACCGGTTACCGACTGCCCTCCCATACTTGATCTGTACCTCATCACTGCTGTAAAAAAGCAAGTCCCTACTTCATCCCTCCACTTCGTCCTCTTCCTCTCTTCCCCTTCCCCTCCTCTCTTCCCATCGCGACTGGCATCTCTCTGTTTTTCTTCTTCCGTTCTTACTTCGTCCTTCCTCTTCTTCTTCTTCTTCACCTCCTTTCGTTTCATTTCCACTCCATCTTCGCCGTGCGAGTTATCTCCTCAAGGGACTTGTAATCGGGCTGGCCCAGTTCAACTCTCTGTTGCTACTCTCTCTCTTTCTCACTGCCTTTCATTTGCCCTTTGTTGACGAGGGTCGGCACAACGTCAGCGCCTAAATACTAGCTACTCTTCCCATACAAGAGGCTGGCACCTCTCTTTCTTACCATCGCCCGTGTTTGGATAACCCTTTGTGTTTCACGATTCCGTCGTTGAACACCCTATATCCAAACCTGTTTCTGTCTTTTTATAGCATTCAATCCTCCGAGATCGCTCCCCTTGATTCCTTGCGAGTGGTTGTTTGTCCGCTTTCCTAACCGGGTGCTGTGACTGTGCGTAACTCCTTGCTCTGCCCAACCAGTGGCTCTGTGACACCGTCCACTTGCCGCTCCCATGGCGCTCTTCTTTGTTCGCGCTTATGCTTGCAAGCAAACCGTCGTTTTAAAGATTTGACTGATTCCCCTACAGACTATCGTATATCACATCCGCTATGTATTCCCAACACGGTGCCCCTATGGCACCTCCCCAAAAGCCGGAGACGTTTATGCTTTCCACTGAGGCCCAGCAAAGCCTTCCACATGACGCGCAAGTCGCGCTGCAGCAGGTTGACAATCGTACGTTTCCCTTTGCGGTTGCTTACAAACCCCCAGATCTCCTGTTTAGCTTTCAGTCGCCTTCGATCTGGGCTCTTTTATGGAACTCTCTCCTGACTAATGGTCTATCTATGGTATAGTCAAATACTTTCTCCTCTCGGCGCCGGTAGACTGGCATGCAGATCAACTTATCCGACGCTTCTTGCTTCCTACTGGCGACTATATCTCTTGCGTCTTATGGTTAGTTGCGATCGTCGCAATACCATGCAGTTGATCAAAGGGCACCTAAACTGATTCGCGACAGGAGCAACCTCTTCCACATCTCCGGAACCGACATCGTGAGATGCCTCGCATTCAGATTCCAGGCCTTCGGGCGCCCTGTGAAGAATTCGAAGAAGTTCGAGGAGGGTATCTTCTCGGACTTGCGAAACCTCAAGGCCGGAACTGATGCTACTCTAGAAGAACCCAAGAGCCCGTTCCTCGACTTCCTCTACAAGAACAATTGCATTCGAACCCAGAAAAAGCAGAAAGTCTTCTACTGGTACAGCGTGCCACACGATCGGCTGTTTCTTGATGCGTTGGAACGTGATCTGAAGCGGGAGAAAATGGGGCAGGAGGCGACCACGGTTGCGGTCAGCGAGCCTGCTCTGTCTTTCGAGTTCGATTCATCCCAGTCGCTGTATGAACAACTCACAAAGGCACAACAAGCAAATTCCTCATCGTTTGCTGCACACGCAAGTACGACATATGGCCAACCCGCATCCCCAGTGGTTCGGACCGTTGACGCTATGCCTCCTCCCCAGATGGCTCCCCAGATGGCTCCCCCGGCGCTACCCCTTCTCCCGGACGAGTCGGGCAACCCGGCGATGTACAACCCAGTTCCTATGCCCACCACCCTGGCCCAGAGCGTTATTAAGCGCGAAGCAGAATACGGGCACATCCAATACGACCGCAATGGCATGCCCATTGCTCGTCTGCACCAGCGCCATGCCTCCATGCCCACCTTCGTCGAATACTCGCCAGCGCCATCGTTCGTTTCGTCTCAATACGAGGACTACAGCAACCGGGGTCTATCGTTCGAGCCTGTTACACCTCCTCAGCACAGCTCCCACCTTGGAGCTGAACCGGCATACATCGCTAACGAAGACACCGGTCTCTACACCGCCATCCCCGATATCTCTTCCGCAACTCACTTCAATCCAATGATGCAGCTACCCCCGTCGAATCTTGCCCATGCTCACTACCCGGCGCCTGCGAGAACTTTCCCTTCAAATGTCTACTCGGTCATCGAAGGCTCTCCTACGTACAAGCAACGTAGGCGCCGGTCTTCGATACCCCCGAGTATCACCAGTGTTGGCGCTGGCCCGCACCCCCAGGTGACGAGTGCACCGAACCAAGCTGTTGCGTACGCTGCCCATAAACCCAGCGACCTTCGTCGTTCAGTCTCTAGCTCGGTGGCTCCGGTAGCGGAGGTGGATGAGTCTCATCATGATCAGTCTTTCAGGGCTGCCAATGGCTATCGCGCTGCAGTCCTTCCCCAGAAGAATTTGCTGCATGAGATGTCCCGCAACAGCACCCCGCTGCCGAGCCTCGAGGAAAACCCCGAGCAGGGTACCTTGGCTCTTGCAAATCAACCAGATGAGTTAGCGCCTCTCCCTAGTGGTGAGGCGCTAGATGCATCTGTCCAGAACAGTGCGACGAATAAGTCTGACCGATACGGTCCCATTCGTCGTGCTCGGAGCGCTACCATGATGGAGCTCGGCCCCTACCCGCAGAAGTCACACTCCTGCCCCATTCCATCATGCGGGCGCCTCTTCAAGAGATTAGAACATCTGAAACGGTAAGTTGCAAAATTCTATTTTTATGAGCTGTCCAATTGGTCCGGGTTCCTAAGGGATCGACGGAAGCCTTAAAGCCATTGTTTCTGTAGCCGCCGACTAACATGAAGGATCCAGGCACGTGAGAACACACACCCAGGAGAGGCCCTACCCTTGTCCTTACTGCAACAAAGCATTCTCCCGATCGGATAACCTGGCACAGTAAGTTATCAACATATTCACTTATTATTCATTGCAGGATGCTAATCTGCCCGATAGACACCGACGAATCCACGAGGCTCAACAGGATGGGCAGCAGCCCCTTTCTGGCCACGAGGAAGACCTGGAAAATGAAGAGAACGGATTTGGTTCGGCCGAGGAGGGCTCGTCCCCGTCTGAATCTGTCTCAGGTGCCATGGTCAATGTTCCTGGCATGACCACGATGCCCTCCGCTATGACCTTGCCATCGGCTATGCCCACAATGGTCGCTCCTCATATGATTGCGCCTCAACTCTTGCAGCAGCAGCTATGAGTGAGCGCCATGGTGGACCTCTAACTGGTTGTTCTTCGCCAGACCATGTTACATGTTACCCAGTTCGCTTTGTTCAGTCCTTACTGATGCTTTCGCATCTCGACCCTCGGTCGTCTACTGTGTTTGTTCTCACTAATTAACTCTAGGAGTTTTAGGGCGCGTGTCTGCATACAAAACGTCCCTTACTCCGTTTTTGATTGATTGCATCGCCAAGTGTACGCTGTTCGGCCCTGTGGCCCCTGTACGTTGATGCCACGTCACTGAGGCTCGGTTGACAGCTATTGGCTTCCCGCAGGACCTCATCTCCTGCTTTGCGGCCTTGTCCCCCGGCTGATGACGGGGCTGCTTCCAGATTTGGATTGAACCTATCTTCCTTTGTTTCCTATTTGCGGTCGGTCTGGATTTTGGTGTCCATAATAAGCGTTACATGTGTTTGTCCCTCGGGGTTGGTATGCTGTTGTCTCTACCCCATAATCGTCCTTGTTTTTCACCTTGTCTCTTTTTGTTGGTCGGGTTTACTGGTTTTATTTGTTTCATGTGCTATGTTGATAATGGGCTTTCTTGTACTATTTCATTTATCGCGGTGATGGGAATTTTTGGGAGGTTGGATTTACAGATGAGGGTTGATTAAAAAGGGCACATAGCCTGGAATGGCTACTTTTCTTTCCTCGTGGAATATTTTGCGGCTCTCCAGGCACACCTGAAGCGGGGATGCAAGGAGGGGGGTCTGGATTTGGAGCTTCTTCCACTATAGATATTCCGAGAGATGGATGGATTCTTGTGTCTGCGACGGGCGTGCAGAGGTTGAGCACATACATATAGATATGAATCAAATGGTAATGAAACCCATGCTGTTAAATGGCTAGTAGCCGTAAAAGTAAGTCAGTCGGTCAGTCAGGGGATTGATGTTTGTCACCTGTCAGACGACTGCGTGTCTCCGCCTGATCCAATCGTGACCCGTTCGATCCGGCTTCCAGATCGGGGTATATCACGTGCATGGCCTGCTGACGTCGACCCGATTCTACAAGGTATCGTCATCCCAAGAACCCCCATTCGTATTCATCGGGAATGTCTCCTCTTCATTTCTCTGCAGTAAGCTGTTGTTCTGATCTGTCCAGCATGGAGCAAGACTAGGAACCCCAAGGGTTGATATTCGTGCCATACCTCCTATCTACAGTATACTGCTCCCCGAGCGCTTCACTTTCCATGAACACATACTCGCGTGTCCACGACCGCCTCTTGCCGAATTCCCAAGAATCCAGCCACGTTTCAGCAGCTTGACTGGGATCATCTCACACTATATTGCACAACCACTTGCTTCAACCTCCGTCAGGAAGAACCCACAGAACGGTTGCATTCCATACTGGACTAGCTTGTGTACCACGGCCTTTCCAAACCCTTGGGCCTATCTATCCACGTCTAATCAGTTTATATACTACTAGTCCGTGTGTGCTATCTTCGGGGCTTTTTCTATCCCATGAATGACTAACGCAGGAAGACCTGATCGTACCACACACACGCGCGGTAATTTCTCTTGAATTCCCCGATTGTTAGCAGGGGATCGTTGTGTCCAGCAACGCTGCTGCTAGCTAGATCAAATGCCAGAAACGCATGAGCGGTTCGCTGACGAAACATCCCCTTTGGTGGGAGCATCTGACAATAATCAAGTGCATTCGATGTCAAGAAATGGAGATAACAACGGGACCAGCGGGGCTGGAGATGCTCACCATCTGTCCGAGACGAAGAGCAGCTGGTACCTGTTTTTGTTGACTTTGAGCATTGGCGGGTAGGTAACAAGTCTGGTCCGTTGGCGATGTAATCTAGGGCTGTGTCCGTGTGTTGTATAGCTTTTGCCCGAAGCTAACGAGGTTTGTTGTTCTAGTCTTCAGGTTGTGTGGTCCACTGAGCTATCGAATGGATCGGTAAGCTACCACTGTTTATCGGATCCTATGTGGGAATAGGGGCTAATTCTGTTGCATGAGCATAGCCCTACCTCCTGTCTCTTGGAATGAGCAAGGCTCTGCTTGCATTCGTTTGGATTGCTGGCCCTATAACAGGTACCCTTGTGCAGCCGTATATCGGCATTTGCAGCGACAATTGCCGCATTTCATGGGGCAAGAGAAAGCCGTTCATGGTTGTGGGCGGCATTGCAACGGTCATTTCTCTCCTTGCCCTCGCTTGGGTCAGGGAGATGACCGGAGGCTTCCTTGGCCTTTTCGGTGTCGATCCAGCTTCTAGTGCAACGCGGACAGTGGTCATTGTACTGGCCACCATTTTGATGTACTGCCTCGACTTTTCTGTAAATACTGGTAGGTCCCCTCTTGCTGCACTGATATGTGCAAACCTAAAGTGACTGTTCGGCTGTAGTGCAGGCAGGCATCCGGTGTTTCATTGTGGACAATGCCCCTTCGCACCAGCAGGAGGCGGCAAATGCATGGGCTAGCCGGCTCACCGGTGTTGGTAACATTCTCGGATATATTTTTGGATACATGGATCTACCGAAATGGTTCCCGTTCTTGGGAAACACGCAGTTCAAAGTCCTATGTGCATTGGCGTCCATCGCACTTGGGATAACGCTGTTGGTTAGCTGCCTATACATCAAGGAACGTGATCCCCGTCTAGATGGGACGCCTTCATCGGGGAACCCTGGGCTTGTAACATTCTTCAAGCAGGTTTTCAAGTCGATCAAGCATCTACCGCCAGAGATTGCCAAGGTGTGCGAAGTTCAACTTGCCGCGTGGGTGGGTTGGTTCCCATTCCTCTTCTATTCCACGACATATATCGGGCAGCTCTTTGTGAATCCGATTTTCGATGGACACCCGGGTCTCTCGGATGATGATATCAACAAAGCTTGGGAGGAAGCTACGAGGATTGGGACATTCGCGCTGCTGGTCTACGCAATCATCTCATTTGTGACTAATTTGACGTTACCTGTACTTGTTGTTCCAACCTACAAGTCGGCTGTTCCTTCTGAGCCTACGCCTACGGAAGGTCAGTCAGAGGATGAGCCCTTCCTAGGCAATAGAAGGCTGTCGACATCCTCAATTGGCACTGCAATGGAGGCACCCGCGCCCATCTTGGGAATCAACAAGGGTGATTCAGAGGAAGATAAGTGGCTATCGAAGTTGCAGATCCCCGGATTCACCCTTCGGCGTGCGTGGCTCATGTCGCATATCCTGTTCGCTGTCTGCATGTTCAGCACCTTCTTCATCTATTCTTACCAAGCCGCAACGGTGGTGATCGGGATCGTAGGGATTTCGTGGGCATTGACGCTTTGGGCACCCTTTGCCCTAATCTCTGCGGAGGTCTCCCGCATTGACACGGAGCGTCGAATCCGGCGACATCAAAATGAGGGCGCAGTCTCCGCTGAGCAGCCTCGCAATGATACAAGTTTACCAGCTCGCGCCTCTACCGACGAGCATGACCTGGAGAATGGATCACCTACTTCAACTGCCAAGGCAGGGGAAGTGGAAGAGGAGGAAAATCTGGCACAGGCGGGGATCATCCTCGGACTGCACAATGTGGCCATCTCGGCGCCACAAATCATATCGAGTCTAATTTCTAGTGCGATTTTCAAGGCGTTCCAGAAGCCTCGGGGTGAGCCGTGGGATGATAGTGTCGGGTGGGTGATGAGGTTCGGGGGCTGCGCGGCAGTATTGGCGGCTGTGCTGACCAGCAGGCTTACCGAGGGAGCACGGGGAGTGCCTGTTTCATCGTAGGATTTCTCTTATTGTGGTGGAGTAACAGACAGAAAGATAGTAGTATCAATATTACACACCGATGGGAGAGTGATCATAATCTGTAACACCAGGTCGAAGTGGGAAAGAATAGTAAGAAAAAGACCCGTTATTGTAATCGAGAGTATCATCTATTGAGGCGACGTCACACGCCAGGAGGATCAGCGGGCCGAACAGCGTCGGGTCTTGGCCACGCGGGACTCCGGCGGGCGTTGACGAATACTTGTCCCCTACTCATGCCAGCTTTCGCTTCACACATCTCTCGTGTCTCTCGCTTTTCGCTGCTGTTGCGCCTTTCTGCCTCCCGTCAGGTCTTTTGCGATCGGCAGATTATGTGTGCCTGGTCCCCGTGCCAGAGACTCGCTGCTGGGCGTTAACCGTCATCCGCGTCGTGGTTGCGAGGGATATCCCCAAACAATGGCTACCCAAGTGATGGGCGACTTTTTACACCAGCTACTCCGTATGTCTCCAATGTCCTATGCGATATCAGTGGTTTCCTTCATGCGGATGTCAAGATTCGGGTTGTTGGCTGAGAGATACCTGGGGGTTTCCTCTGTGAGGAGGCGGCGGCCCCTTGTGATGGATGCATACGCGGCCGGGCGATTTGAAACGAAAATGATCACTAACGGACTCGTGCTTTTCAGGGAGAGCTGTGGATTCGGATACGGACCCCGATGATGGTACGCGCATTATACTTCACCCAAAGTATCCTATTTCTGCATGAGGCCATTGGTTCTGACAATGTCGGTTTTAACAGCAGATGCTCCGGATACCGGCGATAAGGAGTTCTTCAGCTCCTGGGCGCTCTTCATCCTGATTATGTTGTTGATGTTCGCGCTATTTACGAGTTACATTCTCCAACAGAAGAAGATCCAGGCGGTTCATGAAACAGTGCTGTCTATATTTGCGGGTATGTCGATCGCAGCTTGGTTGTTTCCTTTTGGGATATTATGAGGATCAGGCGCTCATGGGTACGGGATAACTTTAGGCATGTTTGTCGGATTGATCATCCGATTGAGTCCTGAGTCACCCATTCAGGATAGCGTCACCTTCGATTATCAGTTCTTCTTCAACCTTCTCCTTCCTCCGATTATTTTGGCATCGGGTTACGAATTACACCAGGCGAACTTCTTCCGAAACATCGGTACCATTCTCACCTTCGCCTTCGCGGGAACGTTCATCTCGGCTATCGTGTTGGGACTGGTCTTGTTTGTCTGGACGAGAATTCCGTTGGATGGGTTGAACATTTCCTTCGTTGAGGCCATCGCGGTCGGTGCGACACTGTCGGCGACGGATCCGGTCACCATCTTGGCTATCTTCAACTTGTACAAGGTCGAGCCGAAACTCTACACCGTTATTTTTGGCGAGTCGATCTTGAACGATGCCATCGCTATTGTGTTATTCGAGACCGCGCAGAAGTATGCCGACAGTGATGCGGGCTCCTTGACTTTCTTGAACTTGTTCGAGGCTATTGGACTGTTCTTGCTGGTTTTCTTTGGAAGTATGATGGTGGGTGTCATCGTCGGCATCATGACCGCTCTGGGCTTGAAGTACACACATGTGCGCCGCCAGCCCAAGATTGAGAGTTGCTTGATTGTCCTTATCGCCTATGCCAGTTACTTCTTCTCGAATGGTGTCTATCTGTCTGGTGAGTGAGATGCTTGTCACAATTCGGTGCGAAGCAAGCTGACATTCTTAGGAATTGTGTCTCTCCTGTTTTGTGGAATCACCCTCAAACACTATGCATACTACAACATGTCGCGCCGTACCCAACTTACCACGAAGTACCTCTTCCAAGTGATGGCGCAATTGTCGGAGAACTTTATCTTCATCTATCTCGGACTCGACTTGCTCGTCCAAAGACATCTACAGTTCAAGCCTCTCTTTATCTTGGTCGCCGTTTTCGGTATCTGTATCGCGCGGTACCTGGCGGTGTTCCCGCTGTCCAAGGCGATCAACTGGTTTATCCGATACAGAGCCCGTCGCCGCGGCATGGATGTTGCCGACGAGCTGCCCTTCGCCTACCAAGCAATGCTTTTCTGGGCAGGTCTGCGTGGAGCTGTCGGTGTTGCGCTGGCCGCAGGTCTGAAGGGAGTCAACGCCCCGGCGCTGCGGGCCACTGTTCTCGTGGTGGTGGTGTTGACCGTCATCATTTTCGGCGGCACAACGGCCCGGATGTTGGAAATTCTGGGAATTCGGACCGGAGTTGTCGAAGAGATCGAGTCGGACGATGAATTTGACATTGAGGTCACCAACGGTGGCACCTACTACAAACGCTCTGATACAGGCTTGGGATACACGCCTCGCCGTATGGACTCGACCATCCCGTTGGATGGAGTGCCGCGCGGCGATATAGATCGGAACAACAGCTATTCGAGCGGCAATAATCGTCGTCCCAGTCCTCCTCCATCCGGCTCGGGCCGCACTCGCGGCCATGCCCGGCTCTATTCCAATGCATACAGCCAGAGAGATTCAGGCCGTGACCGTACGTCAACAGCCACGCTGCTGGGTGGTGGCGCCCGTAACCACAGCGACAGCGAGGCTGCCAGTGAGGATGAGTTTGGCTTGAGGACCACTGGGAAGGGCCGTGTGGCAGACGCCGACCAATTGGACGCGTTCGACCTTGATGTCGAGGATGCGCCGTCCGATGACGACCTGCCCCCATCCGCCCCGGCGCCGACTACCTCGCGACTCAGGCGATCGCCGTCTCAGCCTCAGCAATATCTGGAGTCGTCGCAGACCACACCCCCTAACAACCCGTCACCTAACCGGCGCGAAACCGGATTGAGCGCCCGCGATGCCATTCGCGACCTCTTCTCGGGTGGTCCGTCTGGGGACCACGCGGCGTGGTTCCGACAATTGGACGAAGATTATATCAAGCCTCGACTTTTGTTAGATCAGTCGAACCACAAGGGGCCTGGTGCTGTTTAAATGATACTCCTTTCGTTTTCTCTTCCTCCTTGTGTGTACTCATAATGCATGATTCCATCTTCTGTTCCACTGTTCTTCTGCCAGCCCCCCCATGGTCGGAATGGCTTTTCCTTCTGCTCGACCCCGGGGTTCTGTCGGTGGTTGTAGCTGGCCCTTGTTGCGTTCGGTAGCGAGTATGCTCCAGCACGGCAGTCCTGTCTTCCTTAATTGGGGGGGCGCTTGTATATCCACTATATACCAGTGCAGACTGCTGTTATATTGTTTTTCTTTGGCATAGCCGGGTCTGGACACCCTGGACACATGTCATTGTGTACGATTGCCATGTTTCCATTTAGATCTGAGTGATTGAGATTCATCTTGTTCTTTCGAATTGCAATGGAGCACATGCGTAGGAAGTAATATACCACCATAGATAAGCCAAGCCATTCTAATCAACCAGGCCGATCCCCCTCTCACTAAGTAGGCGCGTGATTCCCCAGCCGGCAGCACCAGCAACTTAATGAGCTACTAGTCGTAAACCTCGGAACAATCCAGCACCTCCAATTCCTTCTTCCCTTTTCCTGTCAATTCCGATTCCGAAAGGCAATCCTTCGCGACAAGCCTCCAGACTTACGGTGGCCCAGCGCGGGTTGTTATCAGGCGCAGGAGTGTCCAGATTGGCTGCTCGGGCGTCGTGCTAGGTTTCCCCCGCGATAAGAGTCATGATAACACACGCCAGTCTTGGAGCTCTCCTGATCGAAGAGTTCTCTCTCGTTCGTTGGTCGATGCTAGAATGTGGCGTTGTAGTGTGCGCGGTGCCACCGATTTGTTGGGCTTATCGGAGGATGAATGGATTATCAGCACGCTTTTTGCTCCCATTCGGCGTAAGGGATGGGATACTTGTTATACTTCCGATGGGCTGGTGTCGGTCTGGAACCCCGCGCTGTGGGAAATTTGGAACTAGTATAAGTTAAGTGTCTGGTGCTTGTGCTTCCTTCTGCTGCGATTCACGTTTCTTTCTTTGCTCTGGTTATCTGCAGTTCCCTCTCTCTCTCATGATGGCGGAAAAGTTCAAGGATGCTGCTCAGGTAGCTGATGGGGATCCTCCCATTGAGCAGGGCGATTCGCAGCTTTTGGGTATGTTATGCTATCAATCTATACTTCTATCGAGTTGTTGATTATGGTGAGATTGTTTGTGCTGATCTGATCGGATAAGCTACGCTGGGGTATAAGCAGGAACTGCGTCGTCATTATTCCACCGTCCAGGTCTTTGCTATCGCCTTTAGTATTATGGGATTATTGCCCTCGATTGCGACGACGCTCTCGTACTCGATTCCTGCTGGTCCCGTGGGCATGGTTTGGGTATGGTTGCATATGCATGCTGGCTCTACATACATGGGATTCGTGGCTAACTTGAGTTCAGGGTGAGGCTTTTCGCTGTTGTATAGTATGGTCTAGGCATTGATTCTAATGGGTCTTGCAGGATGGTTTTCTGCGAGTGTGTTCATCTTCATAGTGGCTTTGGCGATGGTATGCTTCATGCGCAATATACCTCATGCTCATCGAATTGTTTGGATGCTTACTACCCACTGGATATAGGCCGACCTAGCATCCGCTATGCCTACTGCCGGTGGTCTCTACTTCTGGACTCACTACTTCAGCGGCGAGAAATGGAAGAACCCTCTCAGCTTCGTAGTCGGGTACAGCAATAGTCTAGGACTCATCGGCGGCGTCTGCTCCATCGATTGTATGCGAATCCCTCGACCCCTCCGTGTCCTCCGATCGCTAACCCTAGCCGACAAGATGGCTTCGCTACAATACTCCTCTCAGTCGTATCAATCGCGCGCGATGGAAACTGGACAGCCTCTCGACCCGTCCTATACGGCACCTACGTCGCCTGCGTGGTCGTCCACGGCCTTATCGCCATCTTCTGCGCGCGCATCATGCCCAAGATCCAGTCCGCCTGTATCGTGAGCAACGTCGGCCTTGTCCTCGCCACAGTCCTCGCTCTGCCCATCGGTAAAGCCGTCCGCGGGGGACAGATCAACTCGGGAACGTATGTCTTTGGACACTCTGAGAACCTCACGACCTGGCCCCAGGGCTGGACCTTCATGCTGTCATGGATGTCGCCCATCTGGACCATCGGCGCATTCGACTCCTGCGTCCACATGAGCGAGGAAGCTAGTCATGCGGCGCGTGCCGTGCCATTAGGTATCATTTGGTCTGCGGGACTCTGCGGACTGTTAGGGTTTGTATCCCTCGCGCTCATCGCTGCCGTGATCAACCCGGACCTTAATGCCGTGCTGAACTCGAGTTTCGGACAGCCAATGGCACAGGTACTCACCTACTCTCCATTCCCTCTATCCTAGAATGGTAATAACCGCAGGCACAGATCTACTACGACGCCCTCGGCAAAAGCGGTGCCCTCGGCTTCATGATCGTCGTCGCAATTGTCCAATTCTTTATGGGCTTGAGTCTGGTACAGCCCCTCTCCTTCCCCCCCCCCCACCTCATCCCCAATTACCAACCACAAAACTCACATAATTAAAATTATGATATATAGGTAGTGGCAGCCTCCCGCCAAAGCTGGGCCTTCTCCCGCGATGGCGCCCTCCCCTTCTCGAACTTCTTCCGGCACGTGAGCAAGCGTGTCCGCTACCAACCCGTGCGAATGGTCTGCTTTGTCGTCCTGATCTCCGTCATCCTGGGCCTCCTGTGCCTCATCGACGAAGCCGCCTCTAGCGCCCTCTTCTCCCTCGCCGTCGCGGGCAACGATCTCGCCTGGATGGTACCCATACTGAGTCGTCTCGTCTGGGGTAAGGAGCGCTTTCACCCTGGAGAGTTCTATACGGGTTGGTTTAGTAAACCCATTGCCATTACGGCGGTCGTGTATTTGGCGTATGTTATTGTCTTGAGTATGTTTCCGACGGGGGGGCCGAGTCCGTCGCGTAAGTTGTTCCCTTTTTTTTCTTTTCTCTTTGAATATACTTCGTTTGAGGGTTGGAGTGGTTGAGCTAATGATGTGTGTAGCGCAGGATATGAACTATACGATTGTGATTAATGGGAGTTTGTGGCTGGGAGCGATGGTTTATTATGTCGTTTATGCGAGGAAGGTGTATAGGGGGCCGCAGATGACGGTGGGTGGGGGGGAGTCGTCCGGGTTGGAGGAGGATGAGAAGTGATTGATTGATTGTTGTATTTGCTATTTTGTGGTTAGGGTTATGGTTTTCAAATTGGAGGGTTCGGTTGTATTGTGTATGGATGAACGTCCTTGGGTGATGTTAGAGGTACTATTATACTACTGTACTGTTTGGCTGGGGATAATGGGAAATTTCTTTGATTTGGTTTGTTATGAAAGCATAGCATCATGGTGTTTAGTACATAACATTGTATCTCTTGGATGGAGTATAGCTTCGTGTACTTTGTTTATCTGTATGTTTGGGGCTTTGTTCAGACTGTACCACTAGGTATCTGAACAGATACTAGGTAGTCATGCAGGCCATGGCGATGTGATGATGCTTATGCATGATGGATGACATGAGACAATCTGATTTGCAGCAAGGCTTGCCGTGCGTGTTCTCCATGTAGAGTCAATTACTTGGTATCCATCACGTGCGGATATGGTGAATAAGAGTATAGAAGATTCAATTATTTCAGTATTTTAAACATGTCAGAGAGACGTTATTAGTAGTCATAAGCCCATCATAGTAGTCATGCTCGAGACTGGTAAATAAACTCCGTCTGACCAGCAACTCGTGTCATCCCCAACGCCAAATCTTTCCGTGTCTACCTGCTTACTGAGGCACCTCAAGGACATACCGACCGGCGATCTGGCCTTGTTCTGTTTTCATAGTTAGTAACTCGACTTTATATCACTAGGTATACAACGTACCCATCAGTTCGAAGATGCGCGGCAAATCCTCCAAAGGAGCCGTCTTGAACGGAGCCTTGATGAGTCCGCGGGCAAAGAAGTCTACTGCTTCTACGCCATCCTGCCTATTGCCAACGTAGCTTCCCTTGATGTTGATCATACGGACAACGGTGTTGAAGACAGGGGCTCGAAGGAATGCGCCGGCTGGCATGCCAATAGCGACGACACTACCCTTGGAGCGAACGTACTCGGTTGCCTGCTGGAAGGGCTTTTCGGCCACAGCGAGAAGAATCACAGCGTGGGCACCAAGGCCTTCCGGAGTGGCTGCCTTGACGTCCTCAACTACATCCTTGGATGTCTTAAAGTCGATGTATGCCTGGATAGGGAGAGGGGGTTAGCCAGATGTGGTGGTATTGGGGACTGAGACATTTACCTCCGATCCGAGTTTCTCGCACATAGCTTTCTTCTCGTCACCACCGTCGATGGCGATGGTGCGAAGCCCCATTGCCTTAGCATACTGCAGAGCCAGCGATCCGAGTCCACCTCCGGCGCCGACAATGGCGACGGTCTGGCCGGGACGAGCACCAGACTCCTTCAATCCCTTGTAGACAGTGATACCAGCACAGAGGATGGGAGCGACAGCATCAAGGGGAACTTCCTTCGGGAGCTTCGACGCATGACTGGCCTTGGCGATGGCATACTGCTGGAACGTACCATCGACGGTGTAACCGGATAGCAACGCGTGAGGACAGAGGGGCTCCTCGGCCTGCTTGCAGAACTCACAAGCCAAACAGGATCCGTTCAACCATTTGATACCAGCGTGATCTCCAACTTCAAACTCATTGACGAGGTCACCCGTGGCGACGACCACGCCAGCTCCTTCATGTCCGCCCACGAGGGGAAGCTTCAACCCGAGTGGCCAGTCACCCTTCATGGCGTGCAAGTCGGTATGGCAAACTCCGGTATACCGGATCTTGACCAAGATCTCGTCCGGGCCAGGCTTTGCCACCGGAATCTGCTTGTAGACAGGGGGTCCACCCTTCTTCTCGACCACTTGGGCCCATTGCTTCTCCGGGATAGTCATATTGGCAGTCTGGGATTCGGATGAGATAGTAAATGACAAAGATACCAAGTGATGGGAGGCTGATGAATGCAATTGATGTCTATGTGAGACGAATAATCAGGGTCTTCCAGGTCAAGGGGCGTGAGTCCTTCGTGGCTTTATGTAGTTGCGTCCTGGTGGTGTTGCCGGGTATGACGGACAGGTGGGGTGATGTCCGCTCATCGCCGGAAGTGAATTGGGATCGAGTGACGTCGAACAAGAAGGATCCAGTGGCAGGACAGGGGTTTGGTGCCAGGAGACACTGACAAGGAAGCAGTCACCGAGCCTAGAGCTGGCTTTTGGTCTCTCGGCCGGGGCGGTCATCCTCGGGCTTACTGCATGATCAATCCAATTAGGGACGAAATTCCTTAGACAGGCCAGTAAACATGTATATGCCACAAGCCACTCTTGGAAAGTCTTTCGCACCAAACGTCTCAAGTGAGTTTTAAGTGGTTGAGTATCCCGATCCATGGCTGTCGGGATGGCGGGACATGGCAGACGGCATAGACGTCATGGAAACCAAACTCTCTCTCCGCAGCTTCCAATCGCGGGAAAAGCGTGGGGGGAAAGACATCCTGAAACCCGAAACCCCAGATGCATACGAGGAACGCTGGCTATAGAGACCGTCTATTATCAGATCCCCGCTACTAGAACCGCATTAAGTCGGCCCAGCCCCAGCTTGCAGTGCCTGGTTCGTGTTGGCAAAGAGGGGTTGATTGTTCCGATGGAAGGTCGTGAGCGAGAGAGGCGCGGATGACGCGGACGAACGGCTTCCTTCTCGGTCTTTCCCCAGTCTATAGCACTCAATTTTATCAAAAGCAGCAGCAATGAAGGCAGGTAGCAGAAGCATGCTTGCGGATAGATCTGCTGCCACGGCAGATTCAACGTGCATGGTTGGACGGGCGATCCGAGAGCGCCAGGCCGATCATTCTTATCGCTGCCTTGGGCCTCATCCAGGATCGTTGCATCGCATCCCTTTGTCTCACCCCAAGTTCAAGAATGTTCTTTAGTTTCCTCCGCGTTACTATGCTGTTACTTCCTATACCTCAAACTCTTCGTGCTCTGCCGAACTCTGTCACTGGCTGGTCTCTCCGCAGATGAACTCTCATTGCTGCGGCTAGATTACATGGGATTCGCAGGCCTCAGCCGATTTCGCAGCTTCCCGGTGGTTCAATGGTATCCCCAGTGAGTGGTGGTAAGACATGATAAGAACACAATATCATGATCAGTCGTAGTATTATCAGGGAACTGAATCACCGGAAGATTCCAGGCGGAAGGGCAGATGGAAGGTTGAAAAAGCCCAGTTGTGGATGGGCTGATCGAGTACCTCCGGGGCACCCACCTGACCACAGGCTCATCTTAACCTCTTTCGGAGGAGTTCTTAGCAATGGATCCAGTCATGCTGTTTTAACTATTACAGCAAGATCTATAGAGTATGATTAATGAGTATCATGGTACAAATGCCCTGATCAGCCGACCCATTATGGATGGGATGCCAGCACGCCAGGATTTGCTAGACAAGAACGGGTGCTTGATGCTTGAAATAGTTCCTCAGTCGCTATTTGAAGTAACAAATTGCGATTGGAGAGGAACTAAGTGATTGCTATGTACCCCAGTCTTGGACATGCTTTACTTGCAGCTTGGGTAAATCTACTTGTTGCATCGGGGCTATCATCTACTCCCATTGCAGCACCGGCTGAGTCTTGATCATTGGCATGGACATGAGTCGTGCAACAATTTGCAAATATTATACGGAGGCTAGAAGCTTGGATCCAGGGTTTCACTCTTGCAAGTCTCATAATATTCAAAACCAGTACCAGCCAAATATTTTAGCTACAAACTAGCATAGGATGTGAGTGAGTGAGTGAGTGAATCTTGTCCGGATTTCCTACTTCCTTCTACCTGGATAATTTTTTAGATCCATAGTAATAGACACCCCTTGATGGAAAGACAACTCGATCACCGTCTTTCCAATTGAGTACCAGGGTATGTTTAGAACTATTTATCGTTCTACTCCACCTCGTTCGGACAAGCGTTGCGTTAGTATGCAACCATCAGCCGCCGTCCAACCTGAGAACGTCAACTGCGAAGTTGTCATTGGATATCAATGATAGACGATCTCATTGTGCGTGGCACTTGTTTTTGGTGGCGGTAGCTTCAGCAAGATGCACGGGGTAGCTCCTCATCGTCGCGGGATAAGCTAATTGCCACGCTCTGCGTTCAACCGCCAATTTGATGCTATCGCCAACCTATAGGAACTAGAAACATGAAAGGAAGTAAATACTATTTTTGAACATCAATTTGTTCTGAAATATTGAGATGACCCAAGACTGAAGTCTAACTAGCTTGTTTGTGGGTATCGATGATGTATTCTTGAACCGAAGTCGCGAGACGCCGGGAACATAATATGGGATCTTGGACATGGCAAGACGCCGGCGTAGTTACTCGACTTAACTACGGCTGTAGGTCTACCTGATCCATGTACGCCGGACACTGTAGGCCGATGCAAGCACTTCAGATCATGTCAAAATCCCCTGGAGGGGCAGCAGCACACGCGACCATCACCCCTCATGATCAGGTGCACGATGAAGTGTCCTGTTTGTGAGATTTTAATAGCGTGATGATGGGAGAACCGGGGGACAAGAGTTGGCGGGAATCTCCATAATAACCCGAGTGTCCGTCAGTCACAGTCAGTCACTCTCTCCGTTCCCGATCGAAGGCGATGATGTCTGGAGACGGTCATTACCTGTATCGAACTAAACAGTTCTGTCATCGAACGGAGCCTCCCCGGTCCAGATGCAGGCGAGATCGATGGAGATACAGGGAGAAGTGTTACAATCCTCTTGAGGGAATCATGTTTAGAAGCAGTTTCCAATACCCGTTGTGCAACTAATCGTCTGCCCTTGTATAGATTAACACCAATATTCGGGGAAATTCCAAGTTGTAGACAGGAGTAGGCTGGAAGAAGGCATCGTGCTGCTACGAACTTCAGCTTTGGTGATCTGGGCAACGGCTAGTGGTCAGTAATAATCAGTAACAGTAATACCAATACATACGGACAGGTGCGGGATTGGATGGGGGAAAGCAGAAAGAAACGAAAGAAGGAACGAGACAAGATGAGGGAAAATGAGGGAGAAAGTTGGCCCAAAGGGGGGGAAAGGGAAGCAGCAGCGCAAAAAAATCAAAAAATACTGGAACCATCGCCATCATCCTCTTCATCATCCATCCAATCCATCCCATCCCAATCTCCAGTGCAATCAATCTTCATCTCGACATCCATCTCTCTCATCATCATCTATGAATTCTGCCATCTCCTCCCCGGAGCACGACCCCATTCACCACCACGTCTAGCTAGCTAAGGAAGGTATCTCGACCGTCTGAGGTACGATACACTACAAACACCAGACCTGAACTGAGATCATCACCCTCCACTCTTCTTTCCCCTTACCTGCTGCTCACCTCCTCCTCTTCCATCATTCACATCCAACCTCCCACCCTCCCCCCCATCTCAATCCCAATCCTCCATCAATTCATCCAGAGGGTCTCCGTTACGGACATTGCTGGGTTTCTCAAGTAGTGTTCGCTGCCGGCCCAGGACCATTCCCCGATCGGGTAGCCCATTCACGGCTTGGCTGGGCCTGTGTTTCTTGTCGCATCCTGTCCGGAACGGTTGACCCGTGGAGGGTTTGTTGGCTCGCTCACCACAAGCACTTTGGAGCCCTCCGAAGATTCCTGTCAATCCGGTGAGGCGATCCTCCCTTTTCCACCTCATCCTTTCCTGTTCTTTTCTTCCATCTGCCCCCCATCATCTTCTGCCTTCATATCATCGCCATCCTCCCTCCCAATAACCTCCAGCCTTCCTTCTCCACTTCTCCCCATTTAGGCCTCTCAGAATTAATTCCTTCCGCAGATAGCTGGGACCAGCAGCGGCAACCAACCCGACGCGTGATCGCCCCCCATCGAGATCTTCGTGAGATAAATCCTCTCGAAACCCCCTTCGCGCATGGCCAGCCCTCGTTTTTCATAAACGGTTCTTGTTCGCCCCGAACACGTTTTCTCTCCTTCCTCCTTCTCCAACCCCCCATCGCCTTTCGCGGTCCCTGTTGCTGGCACCATCTTCTAACCCTCGCCGCCGCGTTCCCCGGCACACGCGGCCATCATGACGGGGGCTCCGCCTTATAATCCTCAATCTCCCACGCAGCAGTCTCGCTATCCGGTCTATTCCCCTCCGGCTAAAAGCCGCCCCTACTACGCCAACAATGAACAATACCAGCAACATCCACCCCAGACTCCTCCTGCCTTCTCATCCAGGAGCCCTCACTTCTCCCATGCGCCTTCCCCGTTGCCAGGCACTCTGCCGCCATTGAACGGCGCGGCGCCGCCGTCATCTCATCCCTCGGAACCGCCGTCGCAATACCAGGCACATTCTTCGGCTGGAAACCCACAGTTTGCTCTCCCGCGGCCCTATCCTGGCTCCGTCTTGTCAGGCAACGGCGCATCTCCTTACGGTCACTCTACACCGTCCCATGCCCATCCCGCTGGTCGGCCCGATAGCCATCCCCAAACATCACCCAAGAAGGAGTCAGAATCCCAGTTTCCCATGAGCACTCACGGTGTTATGGGTTATCCATCCTCTGTGGTGCGCGAGCCACGAGCATCTTCACCCCCCAAGGACGTGGTATGCTATCCCCTTGTTAATCGTGGCCATATTTACCTACCCATTGACTGACGCTGTGATGCTCTGCTACATCTAGAAACCTACAAGGGCAGCAGATCCCATGTCTTTTGCCAGCATTCTCTCCGGACCGACTGAGGAGCGCGCTCCTCCCCCGAGACAGTCTTCGGCCGAGGCTACGCCCACTCCCCTAGCGCCCGCAGCAACAGCCCAAACCAGTCTCAGTCCTCCGCCCGTAGCTTCGGCTGCTACTTCACAAAAATCCAAAGACCGGGCACCGGCTCTCACCGCCTCTCTACCGAGACTGGAGAAGAAGCCCACCACGGAGAAACGCCGTCGCAACCCGCCGGAAACTGAGCAGAAGACAGCCGACTCACGGACCTCCAATGTGGCCAACGGCGTCTCTGAGCCCTCGAAGACGCTCGCTCAGCCTCGTGGTGCCGGATCTCGCCCAGTGATGTCTGAACGGGAGACAGAAGCTCTCAACAAAGCGTTGGCTGATATGGCCGAAGCTGACAAAAGTGATGTGGAAGCACCTGGTTACGACCGGTTCCGGGAGGAATATCGCGCCAAGGGCAAGAAACGTGCCTTTGCTACTGAACAGGCCGAAATCCTGAGACGCAAGGTAACACAATGACTTACCACATGCAAATATGTCTGGATTTACTGACACGGTATTTAGCGCCGCCGAAATGACTTCCTCGTCAAGCTCAGCAAGTCTCTTGAGAAACAAGCAACTGCCGGCATGGACCGATTCCGATATGCAAACGAGGCATCCGTCGTTGCTGAAGTCCAGGCGAAAGAGATTCAGGATGAAAAGGAGCGCAAGAAGGACATGCAACGCAAGCGGCGTCGTGAGAATACGGTGCGCATGGAGATGCAAAAGAAAAAGGAAGCAGAGGCCAAGGCGCACGAGGCTCAAGATTCTGCGGAGAAGGCCAAGTTCCTTCGTGAAGCGGAACGGGCGCAAAGGAAGATCAAAACGACCAAGAGAGCTCTCGAGGGAATCACTGCCCCAGAGGAGATCAGCGAGGTCACTCCATTGGCTCCAAATCTGGAAGGCGGCACTACCAGCTCCTTCCACATTGGCCGCGGCTCACCATCGAGACGGAAGTCTGGTCGCGGTGGTCCGGTCACTCGGCCAAAGAAGTCGAAAGAGCAGAAGCAAGCCGAAAAGGATGCTGCGGAGGCTGCTTATGCAGCTATGGAGAATGACGAACCTCTACCTATCGCACCCAAGGAGGACCCCCGAAAGGAGTCTCTCAAGAAGGAGGTTAAAGGTGGCCGCTCCAAGGAGCCCACGCCAACGCCCTTGTCCGCCTACGAGACTAAAGGCTATAACCAGATTTATGAGCAGATCTGGCGTGACATTGCGCGGAAAGACATTCCCAAAGTCTACCGCATCAAGGCCTTGTCCCTCAGCACGCGTCAGGAGAATCTCCGCAAGACAGCTCAGCTGGCCAGCAAGCAGTCCCGCAAGTGGCAGGAGCGTACAAACAAGAGTATGAAAGATACTCAAGCCCGCGCCAAGCGCACCATGCGTGAGATGATGTCCTTTTGGAAGCGCAACGAACGAGAGGAGCGTGATCTTCGTCGTCTTGCGGAGAAGCAAGAGATTGAGTCCGCTAAGAAGGCGGAAGCAGAACGTGAAGCCAACCGTCAAAGGCGCAAGCTTAACTTCCTCATCTCCCAGACAGAGCTGTATTCTCACTTCATTGGCCGAAAAATCAAGGGTGCAGAAGGAGATGCTGCCGGGGACACAGCCGTGGAAGCGACGGGCGAGACCGTCCAACCCGGCAAGGGTCAGGATCATACCATCGACATGCCCTCCAGTGTTGCTGATGCGGGCACCAAAGTTACGAACTTCGAAGATCTTGACTTTGATGCCGAAGACGAGACCGCCTTGCGGCAGGCCGCCATGGCTAATGCTCAGAACGCTGTCCAGGAAGCGCAGGATCGGGCACGCGCCTTCAACTCTGGACAGAACCAAATGGATGCCTTGGATGAGGGCGAACTGAACTTCCAAAATCCTACGAGTTTGGGAGACATCGAGATCTCGCAGCCCAACATGCTTACTGCTAAGCTCAAGGAGTACCAACTGAAGGGTCTGAACTGGCTGGTCAACTTGTACGAGCAAGGCATCAACGGTATCCTAGCCGACGAGATGGGTCTGGGAAAGACCATCCAATCCATCTCCGTCATGGCTTATCTCGCCGAAGTACACAACATCTGGGGTCCGTTTTTGGTCATTGCGCCCGCTTCAACCCTACACAACTGGCAGCAGGAAATCACCAAATTCGTGCCGGATATCAAGGTGCTTCCCTACTGGGGTTCCGCCAAAGATCGTAAGATTCTCCGCAAGTTCTGGGACCGCAAGCATATCACCTACACCAAAGAGTCGGAGTTCCACGTGCTGGTGACGTCGTATCAGCTCGTCGTGCTTGATGCCCAGTACTTCCAGAAGGTGAAATGGCAGTACATGATTCTGGACGAAGCTCAGGCCATCAAGTCCTCGCAGAGTTCACGATGGAAGAATCTGCTTGGATTCCACTGCCGCAACCGTCTCCTTCTTACCGGTACACCGATTCAGAATAATATGCAGGAGCTGTGGGCCCTTCTTCACTTCATCATGCCGACTCTGTTTGACTCCCATGACGAGTTCAGCGAATGGTTCTCCAAGGATATTGAATCCCATGCTCAAAGTAACACGAAACTCAACGAAGATCAGCTGAGGCGTCTACACATGATCTTAAAACCTTTCATGCTGCGTCGTGTGAAGAAGCACGTCCAGCAGGAGCTTGGAGATAAGGTCGAGAAGGACATTTTCTGTGACCTCACCTATCGCCAGCGGGCCTATTATACCAATCTACGAAACCGCGTCAGCATCATGGATCTCATCGAAAAGGCTGCCGTTGGTGACGAGGCCGATAGTACGACCTTGATGAATTTGGTTATGCAGTTCCGTAAGGTCTGTAACCACCCTGATCTGTTCGAGCGTGCCGAAACCAAGTCTCCCTTCTCTACCGCCTACTTTGCCGAGACGGCGTCGTTTGTTCGGGAGGGCAACAACGTCGATGTCAGGTACTCGACCCGCAATTTGATTGAATACCCCATGCCACGCCTTCTCTGTGGTGCAGGCGGTCGTGTCGATGTTGCAGGCGCTGAAAATCCTCACGCCGGGTTCCGCGGACGGTACTTGAACCACTTGATGAATATCTTCACCCCGGAGAACATGAAGCAAAGCATCCAGGACGACGGAGCGTTCTCTTTCCTACGTTTTGTAGATACATCACTGGGTGAAGCGTACGAGCAGTCGCATCTCGGAATCTTTGAGCGAGCGGTCCGCCGCCGAGGTCAGGTCAACAGGCTATCTCGGCTTAACGTTGCCTACGACGACGACAAAGAACTGGCAGGGTCCGCCCTTCCGCATACACTGTTCAATATCGTCGACCGCAATGATAAACACGCCGTCAATGAGGTTGCCGCAGAAGGAATAATGCGGGACTTGATGACTGTCTCGCAATCTACGTACGAGCGCGAGGGCCTCAACATCATTGAGCCCTGCGTCAGTCCCGCCGCATCCGCACCTCCGATCTCTGTGGTGTCCTCGAGCCATATCCCCTCAATCGAGACAAGGGACACCCTCTTCAATGTCTCCGTTCGACACGCACTGTATAGCACGCCTTCAAGACAAGTCGATGAGCAGATTATCGAGAAGAAGGTGGACCCTACTCCGTACTCGCTTGCTCCCATGCTTCCGAAGCCGATTTCCGCCAAGGGCCGTTACACGCACATCGAAGTGCCATCCATGCGCCGGTTTGTCACCGATTCTGGTAAATTGGCTAAGTTGGATGAGTTGCTTCGAGAGCTCAAGGCAGGCGGTCACCGTGTACTGCTGTACTTCCAAATGACCCGCATGATCGACCTAATGGAGGAATACTTGACTTACCGCAATTACAAGTACTGCCGCTTGGATGGAAGCACCAAACTGGAGGATCGCCGCGACACCGTGGCTGATTTCCAACAGCGCCCTGAAATCTTCGTCTTCCTGCTGTCCACTCGTGCTGGTGGTCTGGGTATCAACTTGACTGCGGCCGATACCGTCATCTTCTACGATTCGGATTGGAACCCGACTATTGATTCTCAGGCCATGGACCGCGCGCACCGTCTTGGTCAGACACGGCAAGTTACAGTGTATCGACTGATTACCCGGGGTACCATCGAAGAGCGGATTCGTAAGCGCGCCCTGCAGAAGGAAGAGGTCCAGCGGGTCGTTATCACTGGTGGCGCGGCTGGAGGAGTCGACTTCAACACGCGCAACCGGGAGAGCCGCACGAAAGACATTGCCATGTGGCTGGCCGACGATGAGCAAGCCGAGCTCATTGAGCAGAAGGAGAAGGAGGCTTTGGACCGCGGCGAAGTGTTCGGTGCCGGCAAAGGCGGAAAGAAGGCAGCCCAGAAGAGAAAGAAGGACATTACGTTGGATGATATGTACCACGAAGGTATGTCTTTCCCTACGCACTTTACATGTTGCTTTGAGATAGATACTAATTTTTCTAGGCGAGGGTAATTTCGATGATGCCAGTGCCAAACCATCCGGGGCGGCAACCCCTGTATCGACCGCGGAGAACGTGGGCACGCCCT